CCGAACCGGAACCGATGGCTCGGTTCGGTTCCGGTTTATACGGAGAACCGAACCGAACCGAAACTTTTATTACCGGTTCGGTTCCGGTTCCAAGTCTTAGAGAACCGAACCGAACCGGCCGATTCGGGTTGAACCGAACTACATACATAAATACATTAGCGAAGTTGATCATATTTCCGAAAAAGTTTTACGAATTTCCCGAAATACACCTAGTTTCCAAAATGAAATTTTGACGTGGCCGTACCTCCAAAGTTCCCAAAATGAAATTTTGACATGGCCACACCCCCCAAGTTACCCGAAACGAAATTTTGACCTGGTTACAGTTACATCCACAATGTTTGCAAAACCAAATTTGGACTTGATGACACCTCCAAAGTTTCCAAAATGAAATTTTCACCCCCAAAGTTTCCTAAACGAAATTTTTACCCCCAAAAGTTTCCGAAATGAAATTTTGACGTGACTGCACCCCAAACTTTCCAAAATGAAATTTTGACTTGGTTACACCCCCCATGTTTCCAAAATGAAATCTTTACTTGGTCACACCCCAAAGTTTCAAAAATGAAATTTTGACTTGGTTACACCCCCAATGTTTCCAAAATGAAATTTTTACTTGGTCACACCCCAAAGTTTCCAAAATGGAATTTTGACTTGGTTGCACCCCAAACTTGGAATTGTTTTCTAACTTCAATAATACATACATAAGTGGTTTTGCTGTTGACATGTGTTAGAATTTGCTTGTTTAAATACAGATAAGTTATTGGCTTGCATGTGAAATTTCATCAGAAACACGTGAATTAGCATTGTTTGTTGTTTATTGCATATTAATAACACTACCGGTTTGACCCGAACCGCCGGTTCGGTCACGGTTTGGTCCGGTTCCGGTTCGGTTCCAGCTAAAAAAAGTTCGGTTCTGTTTCGGTTCTTCAATTCTGGTTCTCGGTTCCAAACCGGTTCTTCCAAGAACCGAACCGAACCGCACCGTTGAGACCACTACATATCGCTTATCGAGCTGATTGATAAGCTGAAATAATTACCATAAATTTACATACATTTAGAAATTTCGTGGAGAAGCTATTATAAAACGCAGAAACTGTAAAATCATAAAGTTTACGTGATAATTATTTTGAAGATGAAATTCCTCTTTTGTCGTTAAAACGGTTTAAGATAAGTTTATTAATTTAGATATTTCTGCACTGAAATTCGTGCCGCTTATCGTCATCAAGATAAGCTGAAATAATTAACATTTTATACATACACTTACAATCAAACCATTTTTCAAGCTATAAATGGATTATGTAACGAGTTATATCAAAAAATCAAGTCAAAAATTAGGAATCACGTGGCACTTATCATTCCGTTGAATGGCCCCTTTGAAGAAAAATATTGGGGGTCAAAGTTCAATTTTGTAGTAAATTTTCTCTCCACGAGGCGAAAACCAAGGCGCTTGTGGGTACTTTGACCCCAATATTTTTCTTTAAAGGGGTCATTCCACGGAATGATACGCATAATGCGATTCCTAATTTTTGGCTCGATTTTTTGATATAATTCGTTACATAATCCCGGTGTAGCTTAAAAAAAGGTCCCATTCTTAGAAATTTCTCAGAGAAATTAAAACGCCGAAAATATGAAATTATGATGGGTATGATTAAATAAATAGAAATTTAGATAACTGCGTGGACCAGTTGTACTAACAAGAGTTTACCAATTAAATTTTATTCGTGTAAAAAAACCCGATAACTTATCGTCCTCATGATAAGCAACATTTTACCCTTAAATTCATACGCTTATAAATTTATTGAAAAAATTCAACGTCGAAAATATGAAATTAAAAGGGCAAACTAATAATTTGATAGAAAATTAGATACAATTGACGGCCGATGATAAGTTTAATAGTTAAAACATAATGTCCGTGTAAGTAAACCGGGTTTGAACTCATGTTGCTTATCGCCCTGATGATAAGTTGAAATAATTAGCATAAATTACTTAAGAAATATCTTGGAGAAGTTAAAACTCCGAAAATGTAAAATTATGATGATACTTAATAATAAATTGTGAAAGATTATTCATTCTCACGTTTGCGATAAGCTTAATGATAAAAAGATATCCGTGGTCAAATCGGACTTGAATTCGTGTCGCTTATCATCGTCGTCTCAAGATAAGCTGAAATAATTAGCATTTTTCCCATACATTATGCAAAATTAAACGCAAAAAGTATAAAATTTCGAAGATTACGAGAGAATTGTGTAGGAAATTAGATGGAATGTGGTAATATGATTAATACATAATTAAAATATACCCAGACTTCACTTCATGTCGCTTATCATTCTGATGATAAGCTTAGTTAACATAAATAGTCAACATAAATATACTACGAAATTTACTCTGAAAATATAAAATTTTGAGAATTAAAGCATAATGTATTTCAGTTAACCGGTTTTGAATTCATGTCGTTTATCGAGCTCAAGATAAGCTGAAATAATTAATATTAGTTTACATACATTGAAAAGTTTCCTGAAATTAAAGGGGTAATTATAAAATTATGAGAATTACATAATAATTGGACGTCTTGGGGGTTAAGAATTAATAATTAAATCATATCATCCGTGTCAAAACCGGACTTACATTCGTGCCGCTTATCATCCTGTTAAGATAAGCTTAAATAATTAGCATTTATTACACGCCAAAAGTATAAAATTCCGAAGATTACGTATTAAGTGTGTAGGAAGTCAGATGCATATTCTCAGTGGTAGTTACCCAGACTTGAATTTACATGGCTTATCATCCTCATGATAAGCTGAAATAATTAACTTTATACATATACATACATTTAGAAATTTCCTGAAATTGAACGCCGAAGATATAAAATTATCATTAAAATGATAACAATCATATAAAAATACAAGATGAAATCTTGAGTAGTGTTAAAGATTTCATGAGATAAACTTAATAATATCCGGACTGGTATGCATGTCGTTTATCGTGCTCAAAATGATAAACTGAAATAATTTACATAAATTTCCTGTAAGAAATTTCGTGAAATTAAACGCCGAAAATTTTAAATCAGGAGATACTTAATAATTTTGTAGAAAATTAGATTCTTCCACTCCGCAGCTGTATTTGTATCTCCGTGTGTGTAAATTCATGCCGCTTATCGTGCGAATGATAAGCCGAAATAATTAACATTATATTTTACACGTACATTTAAAAATTTCTGGGGGAAATTATAACCCTAAAAATATAAAAGTACTTACGAAAATCACATAGTAATTGGATTAGATAGGCGTCTAATCTAAATGTGTGGCTGAAAATGTCACGGTGTCTTAACCGGACTTGAGTTTGTATCGCTTATCATCGTCACGATAAGCTGAAATAATTAGGAAAAGTTTGGAAATTTCTTGGAGAAATTTAAACGCCGAAAATATGAAATTATGAAGGTACATATAGCTAAATAATTGTGTAGCAGATAAAATAAAGACGTAATAAGGTCTCATAATAATAAAAATACATCCGTGTCTAGACCGGACTTGAATTCGTGTCGCTTATCATGATAAGTTTGAATAGTTAAATATGTAACCTAAAAATTCAGGGGGAAATTAAACGCAAAAATTTAAAATTAGGAGAATTACAATCACGTTTTTAGGAGGGCAACAAATTTCATGATAATCCGTGAAGTAATCCGCACTTGTCACCTGCCTGTCGCTTATCGTGGTCATGATAAGCATAAATAATTAACACAAATTTACATATGAAGAAATTAAACGCACATGGTACATAATAAGATAGAAAATTAGACGTTAAAAATGTTAGAATATGAAAATTAAATAATTAGAGCATATCCGCGTTTAAACCAGCCTTGCTGAATTCATGTCACGACTGGATCTGAAATCATTTCCGTTGCGTCATTGCACTAAATTATGCCGACATACGTGACAAACTTGACCACAAAAATAAATAGTGTGTGAATGTCTTGTACAATGTGATACATTTTATCTTTTACGACGATAATCCAACACCCAGCCAAGTTTCACTCATCGTAAATACAGCAAAACAAGTTGTTTTAAACAACAAAGTCAGTAGCCTTCTACGTACATAGGTGTTACTTATTAATTGTGTATGTTGACGGAACTGGGGTCAGAGTTCAGAGAGAGGAAATTAAAAATAATAGCAAACCTCGTAAAAAATGGTATTAAAACAAAGACTTCATTGACACTTGGCACCCTACAAAGTATGTATGTCCGCTCCAAAAAATGGCATATGTAAATATCATTGCAAAAATTCAAGCCAAATTTTGGCCTTAGGAATATTTACATACATATGTTCGCAAAACTCGTAAAAAACGACATTAAAACAAAGACTTCATTGACACTTGGCACCACTTTACAAAGTGTGCAAAAAAGTTTTGACCCTCGTTGCAAAAATTAAAGCTGAATTTATTGTCGAGAATACGGAATTCATTGACATTTGGCACTTTGCAAATTATGTCCGCTCCAAAAAAATGGTATAAATATTGTTTCAAAAATTCAGGCCAAATTTTGACCTCAGGAATATTTATATATGTTCGTAAACCTCGTAAAAAATGGCATTAAAACAAAGACTTCATTTACACTCGGCACTTTACAAACTGTGCAAAAAAATCTGCCAAAGACTGTGACCTCAGGATTTAAATATTGTCCAGATTCTGGACTCCAGAATACAAACTTCATTTTATGTACAAAGTGTGCAAAAAAATTCTGACCCTCGTTCCAAAAATTACGACCTCTAGAATTTATTGTCCAGATTCTGGACTTCATTGACACTTGGCACCATACAAACTATGCAAAAAATTGCGACCTCAAGAATACAAAGCCTGCTTTATTTTGTCCAGGATACGCACGCACTGCGTGTCCAATTCGTTTTCCTACATAATTTCCGGCCATGCAGGGAAAAATAACTTTTCATTTCGTTTCATTTCTCACTCATCCAATAAATTTTATGGGTTTGTTTTTGTTTTTATTTTTCAGCACCCTCAGAAATTCCAGGATTGTCCATCATTTTCCAGCAAACGCAACCCCTGGGAGATTTCGTCACGGCGGAAATCGTTCTCACGACGAGGCCAGCGACGAGTGACCTGCCACGTCCAGGAAATAATAACAAAATAATGAAACTGGCTGCGAGCGTGAAGGCGTTAAAGAAGAAGAAAAATTATGTAAGAGAGAGTTTTACGGAGAATTTTTATTTACGGGGTGTCCAGTTTCATGCCAACTTTCCGTTTCATCTAAATTCCAAATCCTGACCAAGACGAATCGTTCACCAAGTTTAAGTAAACAAGTCGTGCAGGGTTGAATGAAAATGAAATCTGGTTCAGTTTAGGCATACACTTTTCGTGGACCGAATTTGAGACTAATCCTACCTAAGAATGGAGGTCTCCCAACGTATGCAATTCGATTATGAGCAAATTGGTGTGAATCGATCATAAATTTAATTAGTATGAAATTTGCGAAAGACACGACCTCCCAATGGGCACCTTTGGCTGAGATATTTGCATCCCAAGAGGAAAAATTACGCCTTAAAGTCGACAAATTTTACTCTTTATTACAGATTTACTGGGCATTTTTTCCTCTTCGGATGCAAATATCTCGATCTCGGCCAAACGTGCCCATTAGGAGATCATGTCTTTCGTAAATTGCATCCTACTTAAATTTGTGATCGATTCACACTAATTAATTTGCCCAAAATCGGAGAGCATACGCTAGGAAGCCTCCATTCTTAATGATTGTGTGGGTCCATTCATTTCCAACTGTTTAATTTTAACGACTTTTTTTACATGTATATTTTTTTCTGGTTCCCGTTTTTTGACAGGTCGTAAATAACGAGGAAACTAACGACACGCTTTTCTCGGAAGTTTCTGCAGTGGCGAAAAGCGACAAGTTTTACGTGCTCGATATCACGGACGCGTTTAAGACGGCGGTGCTGTCCTGCTCGGAGGAGGAGAGATTTTTGCAACATCCGCACAAATTTGAGGTTCAACTTGTGGGGGGTGCGGGGGTGGAGTTTGACAGATTTGACCTGCAGGTGGAGAGACCCTTCGTCATATTTTCGTACCGGCATGACTTCGATGCGATGAAAGGGTAAGGAATAAATTTGAGAATTTTAGGCTATGGTTTGAATAATTGTGGACATAAATCCGAATTTTGACGCGTATTTTGATAAATTGCTGTAGATAAATTCGAATTTTGAGCTATGTTTTGATTAATTGGTTGATTAATTGTTAAAATTTTTATGCAAATTTTTAGTAATTGGTTTAATAAATTCGAATTTTTATGCAAATTTTTAGTAATTGCTTAAACAATTCGAATTTTGAGCTGTATTTTTATAATTTCCGATTTTAAGGTAAATTCTGAATAATTGTTGAATTAAATTCGATTTTGAACCACATTTTGATTAATTTTTAGAATAAATTCGAATTTGTAAACAAATTTTGAATAATTGCTAAAAATGAATTCGAATTTTGAGCTATGTTTTGAATAATTATTTCAATAAGTTTGGATTTTTAAACATATTTGGAATAATAAGTAGTGTAAATTCATTCGAATTTTGAGCTAAATTTTTATGATTTTTTAATTATCTAATTCGAATTTTGAAGCAAAATTTACACAAATTTTTCTTAATTTGTAGAATGAAACGGAGAAAGCGGTCGATTTCCACTTCTTCTGGAGAAACGAATAATTCCATTCCGACTTTGGAAGAACCACGTGCTCCGAACAGTCTATGTCACCGTGAGGACTGGAACGTGGACACGCACGCGGACATCGAGTGGTACGACATGGTCCAACCCAAGCGATTGGAACTCGGCTTCTGTGCAGGAGCGTGCCCATTCCCACTCCAGAATGACCACTTCAACTACACGCTCCACACATTTTTCCAGGATCGCCACAGGTAGATACATATTAATTTGCATATTATGCAAAATTTATTTAGCCGTGTTTAGGCTGAAAGTAACCACGTGCAAGAAATAAAGGGGAGACAGTGGTTTCTTGCAGGGAAATATTTTGACCTGCAAGAAATGCAAGGCGCAAGAAACTCCTTCCAGCCGCTATATGTACCTCATCTGTTCAAAAATTTAGTTTTCATTCAAAAGTCAGTCATCCCGATTTCCGACTGAATATTTTCATTCACATTCAGTCATTTTCTTTCAAATTCATTTCATTTCACTTCATCTGACTTCATTTTTTATTCGCCCCATGTATTAAGCACAGGGTGAAAAATGAAATGAGTGAGAAATCCTTTCATTCATCTGAAATGATGGAATCTTTCAGTCATTTTCATTTAAATCACTTCATTTTCATTTACTTTCACTTTCACTCACCGCTCAAACGAATCACGCAAATGAATGAAAGTGAACAGGTATGCTTAATACGGCGCCTATTTCTTGCAGTTTGTTGCACCTCGCATTGCTTGCATTGCTTGCCTTGCTTGCTTTCCAGTGCAAGAAATGTACATAGCAAACCAACAGCAAGAATAGAAACACTGTTGTTTAGCTTATATGATGATAAATAAATCAATAAATGATCGTTTTCCAGACTCCACAAGATTTTCGACATTCCGAAAAACTTTCCCAAGACGTGCTGCGTCCCGGTGTCGTACAAACCGGTGAAAGCGTGGATCGAGGAGGAGGAGAACTCCATCGTGTACCGAATATTTCCAGACGTCGCGGTGGACCAGTGTGGCTGCAGGTAGACGACCACGAAGGGGACGAATGCCAATTACCTAAGAATCTCACGCTAATCTTGACCAATGTACATTTTGTTATATAGAAAAAAACCGGTGTAAATAGTGTATATCTGTAAATTTAAACTGTATTTATGTGTAAATACCCTCGTGTACATAATTAATTGTTAATTAAATATGACTGTTTTTTAATTGTACATAGAATTTTGGGCAAAGTCTCAATGTTTTTAAAAAATAAATCGGAGTTAAGGAATGCTGCTTTTGAAATTTTTGTTTTTATGTAAATTAGCATCTTTAAACAAACTGTGGTGTCAAACGAACATAAAAAATTGACGTAAAATGGATGAAATTTCCTATAAAATGTCATAATTTTGTCATTTTGCGACCTTTGGCCTCGTCCTCACGATCATGGGTTGGTCGGAGGTGAAAAATATTGATGGGGTTAATTTCGTGGTGAAATTCCCTTTAAAATGACGTGAAACACATGAAAATTAAATAATTTCGTAGTTAATTTGATCTCAATAATTTGCATGTTGGAATTATTCTTTTGAATTTGTTCAGGTTAATTATTATTGGAACCAGAAAAGCTCAAAAATGGTACACAAACAATTATCAATAAGTACATACATTTGGGTTGTTGGGTCAATATATATCCTACCTAAACCTATTTATAGTTAGAATTCGTATTTAATTAACACATTGGATTTAAAGTTACCTACGTATTTATGTACATACATACATATTTTAGATGTCGTTGTCAAAATAACTAACTAGTTGATGTTAATTATTTCATGGGGAGGCTGCATAATAGAATTTATTTACATTCCATGACCCGCATGTGGCGAGGCGAAGGGGGGACCACCCATCTGCCCCATTTGGGGAGGTATCATCGGTGGGCCTTGCATTTGTTGCTGCTGGAATAAATCAAGTCAGGCGTTACGGCATTGTTAACATGGCTAATTAATGTATGTAGGACTCGATGATTAATCACCAAAATCGTCAATTTTTAATCATTTCTCCTCTCTGGGGATTTATTTTAAATTTCTGAACGACAAATTTTCAGTCAGTGAGTTGATTAATGCAATGGCCGTGAGTTTTTTGGGCCAGTTTCAACGAGTTACAATTTTTCTGAAGGCTTCTTAAACTTGAGATCTCCTCCTTCAGAAAGTGTCAAAATCTGGAGTGTACATTTTTAGAAAATTGGCAACGACTACTACTCAATAAATTTGTGGTATAACATTTTTTGAAAAGATACATTCCAAATTTTGACCCTTTTTGAAGGAGGAGATTTCAAGTTTAAGAAGCCTTCAGAAAAACAGGAGCTCAACGAAACTGCTTAAAAAAACTCCGCGTCATTCCATTAATCAACTCACTGACTACGAATTTATCGTTCAGAATTTTAAAATAAGTTCCCAGAGCAGAGAAATGAATAAAAATGTGTTGATTTTGGCGAAGAATCATCAAGTCCTAGATACGTTATCGTACCATTTGTTGTTGCTGCTGCATCTGAACACTTCCCGGACCGGATTCCGGTGGGAGGGTCAGATTCATTAAGAGATCTTGCACCGCGGGGAAGATGGAGCATTCCATCGAGTGATGAAATTGGACGAAGCGACGGAGCTGCTCGCTGATCACGATGTACTCGGTGGGAGCTAAAGATAATAAATTATTGTAAATTTTGCGAAACAATTTGCATAAAAAGAAATGTGTAACTCACGAGGTCCCACAGCCCTCTTTTCCGCCAACTGGGTGGAATTTGCGGTCAATTCATGAATTAAGGGAAGCACGACGAACGGAATCTTTTCGGGTTCTTGAAATAGTTGGGGTTGTCCTTGATCGTCCAACATGGGGAGTTCAATATTATTTCCGTACGCTCGAGTTAACAGTAACTGCACGCGAAAAATAAATAAATTGTTAGAGAAATTAAAGGTCAAAAGGTTAAATATTAATCGTGGGTGCGATTTCTGTTTGGAGGGAATTTTTATTTCCAGTTTTTTGCATGCATAAAAAACCGTCATAATTTTGGGGACTTTTTGCGATGGGAAATCAGATCCACGGTTTAACGAAGGACTCGATGGTTTAGCACCAAAATGGTCAAAATTCAGCACATTTTTTAGTCATTTCTCGTCTCTGGGAATTTATTTTAAAATTCTGGACAACAAATTTGTAGAGCAAGGAGTTTCCAATTTTGAAAATACACACTCCAGATTTTGACACTTTTTGAAGGAGGAGATCTCAAGTTTAAGGAGCCTTCAGAAAAATTGGAACTCGTCGAAACTGGCTCAAAAAACTCGACACTTTTCCATTAATCAACTCACTGACTACAAATTTGTCGTTCAGAATTAAAAAAAAATAAGTTCCCAGAGGCGAGAAATGATTAAAAACGTGCTGATTTTGACGATTTTGGTGACATCAATTCGATAGTAATTGATTGAACCTACATAAAGTAAAATTTTGCTGTGCGACGTCACAATGGCGGACATTCCCGGTCTCACTATCGGCATCTGCGAGGGGGGAACGGTCAGACACAGTTGGACGTTCCACTTCCAGCCTTGCTGTTCCACGATGGAGGGAATCAACTGGAGCCGGATGATCTGAAGGCAGTCCTTAATAATTCTCGTGGGAAGAGAGACCAATTTCGCAAAGGCGGCCAAACCGTACGGCCGAAACGGTGGGCTGACGACTTTGGTGGCGAAAAACTTTTCCAACAGTTGAATTTCATCCGGACTCCATAAATTTTGTGATTCTGGGACCGGGTTGACTTTCAAGTGGAGAGACTGGAAGTGATTCGGGTCTAGACTGACGCGGAATTGGAGCGAGTCTGAGCGGAACATTATCACGCCGGGTTCGTTGGGTTGTGGGTGGAGCTGAAAATTAACATAATATGTAAATTTATACCCTCAAGAAGTTTAGCAAAGGAGGTTTGCCAGCATATGCTTTCCGATTTTGACCAAACTCATGTCAATCGATCATAAATTTAATTACGATGAACTTTGCATAACATACGATCTCCCAACGGGCACGTTTGGCCGAGATATTTGAATCCCAAGAGGAGAAAACGCGCAGTAAAGTTGGAAAGTGTAAAATTTGTCGAGTTTGCGGCGTGTTTTCTCTCCTCTTTGGATGCAAATATCTCTGCAAAACGTGTCCATTGGGAGATCGCGTCTTTCGCAAATTTCATCCTAATAAATTTGTGATCGATTGACTCTAGTTTGCTAAAAATCGGACAGCATAAGCTGGTAGACTTCCATTTTCAGAAATTTAAGAAATTTCCATTTTAAGTTACTCTCAATCTCACATTATCTTCTGAAGTGACGATCCTCTGAAGTTGCCTTCTCAAGTAGGAGCAACCCAAAAATCGTTCGAGAGGTCGACACGGGTAGCCGTTCTCATTGTCCACGCCATCCACGGAGGTCGTCGGAGTGCACAGGATGTCAAGCGCGTCCGCAGTCAGCGTCGTGGGGATTGCGCCGGCCCAACTCTTCTGAGGAAGGACGCGACTCGTCGATACACTTTGACGGTTGTCCCCCTGCAAGAAGAAGAAAAACCAAAATTTTATCACTCCAAATTCCATGATAAATGCTTTGGCCTGTGTTTTTCAATTTGCGAAATAACTCGAAATAGTGCCGTTTTGCATAAAAATCAATCCAAAAATTGGGATAATTTCAAAAATAAAATTAACACGGTAGCTTTACTCATTCAAAAGTTTGTGAAGATAAAAATTTTCAAAATCCCAATTTTATGCTATTTAGCATCTCATCAATCTTTTAAGTTCAATAGATTTTGAAGGGACAGAACTATTTTTGCGTAATCATGCAAATTAGGATAATATGTTAATCTAATTATTGCAATAATTCGCGGTGGTCAAGCATTTGACATGTCTTATCGGCTTGCGAAATATGTATGTCCGTCAAGATTTTTGGTTAAACATCTGCCTGAAAGTTTTTCAAATCTCGAATCAAATTTTATGCTATTTAACATCTCATAAAATTTTGATCTTCAATAGCTTTTCAATTAGGAGTTAATTGTATTTTTGAAATAATCCAAATTTTTGGGCTGATTGTTTCGCAAAAAATTAATTGTATTTCTTAAATAATTCAAATTTTTGAGCTGATTATTTTTTAAATAATTCAAATTTTTGAGCTGATTATTTTTTAAATAATTCAAATTTTTGAGCTGATTATTTTTTAAATAATTCAAATTTTTGAGCTGATTGTTTCGCAAAAAATATTTCGCGATCCGATAAGAACGTTGTCCATGTCTCGGCCAAAGCTCAATTAACCAATCTGGACTCACATGTCCCTGCGGTGAATGTCCCACTCTCGTCGCGGGTCGTGGCATTCCGGGCGAACCCGCATTCGCCCACGGACTCGGCATCGGTGCGGGAGAACTTTCCGCGTGGAAAAATGGGGACGGGTGGCTCGCCCCTCCACCACCTCCGCCCAACGACGCCATTGCACTCGCAGGTCCATGTGCCGCCAAACTTTGCGCGGCCGAGCCAGGGTTTGGTGACGGGGTTGGGACGGACATCGGCCCTGCGGATGGAGACGGGGCCGGAAGCAGGGTGGAAGGTGACGGCGTCGGGTGGTGATGCATGGCCGAACTTGGATTTGGACTTTGCTGACTGAGATGGCTGAGTGACGGAGGAGACGCCAAGTTTGCGAGGGACGTGGCCGCTGGACTGAATCCAGTCGAATTTTGGTTTTGCTGGAAATAAAACGAGAAATAATTTAGAGTATAGAAAATAGCTACATTATTGAAGTTGTGAGTGGGATTTTTGTTTCAATTTGCCAATTTCCGAAAGAAAATGGTAAAAGAAATGCGAAACTGGGAGAATTTTGTAGATTTTATAAAAATTTTAGTGAATTATGCATTAATGTTATCAAATTTATCAAATTTATTTTTTTAAGACTTATCAAATTTATTGAATTTTACAAATTTCGGGAATGTCGTAGATATTTTAGATTTCGTGGATTTTGTAAAAATATTAAATTCCTCGATATCATAATTGTCGTTTGGTTATCATGTCTCAAGATGACAATCTTCCATAAAAACTGACTAAATTTCACACTCTAAAATAATTTAATCGTCGTTGTCATCATACAAATCTGATTTGTGACTTTTGTAAATTCAGGGAATTTTTTAAGGCTCTAGTTCATTTTTATCATAATTGGTTATCAAGTCTAACAATAAAATAACTACCTGTCATTGAACAACTTACCGAAACTGTGCCAAACTACCTTTAATTAAAGTTACTAAATTTCTTTTTCTTAACTAATTACTTTTATCGTCGTTGTGACTTTACATACAAATCTGATTTTGTTTTCTCTTTTTCTGTAGACAGTTTGTACGACTTGCAATTGTAATCAGATTTTAGGTTGGTTTGTTTCCAATTTTTTAATTTTGACGATTTTGGCAATGATTCGTCAAGTCCTACGTTAAATAAGTTGGCGGTAGCACTTACTGCTTGTTGGATATGTGGACTGGCCGGCGTGTGTGGGTTTGACCTCCCCGGAGCAGGGCTGGAAGGCTGTTGACTCCTTGTCAAGAAGGGACTGGATGATCCTGGACCGCCTCCCCCAGATCCGGGCGTCCCCACGCTGTGATCCATTTCCATCATGGTAGAGATCGGGGAGGGAGGATTGTCGTCTTCCGATTGTGAGCGACGTCGAAACATGGCGTTCTCGTCGACATATTTGGACAAAAATGCCTGCATAGAGAAAAAATAGGATTAGCATATTATTCGTTTGCATCTAATTTACATAATTTACTTAGGACTCGATGATTCATAATCAAAATCAGCAGATTTTTAATCATTTCTCTACCCTGGGAATTTATTTTAAAATTTTATACGACAAATTTGTAGTACAAGTCGTTGCTAATTTTTTTGAAATCTAAGCTCCATGTTTGGAGAGTTGTTGAAGGAGATTTCAGGTCAAAATCAACACATTTGTAATCGTTTTTCGGCCCTGGGAAATTCTTTTAAAATTCTGGACGCCAAATTTGCAGAGCATGTCGTTCCCAACTTTTTGAACATATACACTCCAGATTTTTACACTTTTTGAAGGAGATCTTAAGTTTAAGAAGCCTTCAGAAAAATTGGAACTCGTCGAAACTGGCTCAAAAAACTCATCGCCATTCCATTAATCAACTCACGGACTGCAAATCTGTCGTCCAGAATTTTAAAATAAATTCCCAAAGTGGGGAAATGATTAAAAAGGTGTTCATTTTGACGATAAGCCATCGAATCATATGTTAATTGTTCAAATTACACCCATTCACCTTCAACCCCTGCGTCAAAGAGAACTCTCCGAGCACGTGGCTCTTATCGAATTGCGAGTACGCTCCGTCCTTGATCGAGACGAGGCCCTCGCTCTGAAAGTGGACGTCCAAACAGTACACGTTGCAGTAGACGATGGACACGTGGTAGGGCGATCTCGGTACGAGGACGAAGGTTTGGACGGGAATGTGGGGGCTGTCTTTGCCAAAGAGAACGCCCAGTTGCGGGGTGGAGGGCAGCTTGGTGAGCGCGTATAACGGTTCGTACGTGTCGTTGAGGAGTTTCATTAAGGAATCCAGCGTTCCGTCGGGAGAGTTCATGAATTGTTGGAGTTGGAGGCGCAGCAAGGTGTGCGGATTGTGAGATTGGCTTCCGCCTAGAAATTATAGAGAGGAAATTAATTATGGAGGGTTTTCAAGGTTATTTGCACTGGGGGAGGGGGCTCGAGGATTAATTTGATGTATTTGTATATTGGTTTAGTGGAGATTTTTGCAAATGTGTAAAATTACAGATTTGCGAAATTCGCCAATTAATTTTCGACCTCGTCAGGAGTGGACCTCTGTAGCTGGATAAAATGTGGGCAGAGCCACTTTTTGGTGTGCAAAAAATTGAGCACATCTGCAGTTCTACCCACATTTTTAGCTGGCTACATATTTCTAATTTTGACAAGGTTCAAAACTAAAATAAACAATTTTTGAATTCTGAAATTTTTTACACATTTTAAAATGCCAATTCTAAATTTGTGAAAGACACGATCTCCCAATGGGCACGTTTGTTTGGCAGGAATATTTGCAAAATCCAAACAGAAGAAAAAATGCTCAGTAAATTTGGAAAGTGCAAAATTTGCCAAATTTGCTGCACATTTTCTCCTCTTGGGATGCTAATATTTCTGCCAAACGTGCCCATTGGGAGATCGCGTCTTTCGCAAATTTCATACTAATGAAACTTGTCCTCGATTGACACTAGTTTGCTCAAAATCTGATCTCACACGCTGACAAACCTCCAGACACTACTTATTTGAATATGTAACCACTAACTCACCAAACGATAGCTTGTAACACTTGTCTTGAATGCTGTAGAAGATGGTGACATTGGCCGCACGACTCGGGCCGTACGAGAGGACGAGTCTGTTCCAATGGAAAGACTTGACCGCGACCAAGTTGGACGCTTCCATCCTCCGACACCAATTTGACCGGAGCACGAGATGAAACATTTTCGCAATCGCGAGCCAGTCATCGAGCATGTTTCGGACAATTTGTGGCACGTGGTCGTCCGACGATAAGGCCATGTCGTAGACAAAGTGGAGCGGCTTTTCAGAGTTGGGGACAGGTTCGCTAGAAAAATTAGGGATACACAATTTAGTGACGAAATGGAACAAAACTTAGTGTCAAAATTAATGACGAAGTGGAACAGTGGCACAATTTAGTGTCAAAACTAGTGTGAATATTAGTGGCAATGACAAAATTTAGTGACACCAAATTCCTGACGAAATGGAGCAAAATTAGTCTCAAAGTTTAGTGACACAAAATTAGTGACGAAGTTTAGTGACACAAAATTAGTGACGAAGTGGAACAAAATTAGTGACAAAAATTGGTGACATAATTATGACAGTGTCACAATTAACTGTATTTTTTGGATTTAAGTACCTGCCACCCCACTTGGTAAACCGAATGTCCAAATTCCACGTTTTGTGCCCCCTCAACTGTGTCTGTGTCCGTACGAAGGCCGATTCCACGAAGGAATCCAGCTTTTCCAGCGTGGATTGTGGAATATTTGGTAAAGTAGAGGGAAATCGGAAAATGCCGACGCCCAGACAGGACCCTTGCGCCAGAACGGTACATCCTGAGTGGATTATGCCCACTTTAGAGAACTGAAATTGGTAAAATTAGTTTTCTTAATTATTAAATGGCAGTAAATTTTCAAGAATTATGAGGAAAAACGGACCTCCACCGTTAACAGGGCAAAAGGCAGCCGCTCGTCACACATGGCGACAATGTGGGCTAATTCAGGTACGAAATAGGCAGGATTTTTCTGCTTTTTTAACGACGGCTCGCCCGGTTTGACGTGTGGTGAACCCATCTTTCTCTTCCCGAGGACTCGCTCACTGAAGTCGAGAACTGTTCGAAAATAAAAGTCAAGTAAATTAGAATTAGAGTTTCTTCTGAGAGAATTAACGTAGGACTCGATGATTTCTTATCAAAATCGTGAAAATTAACACATTATTAGTCATTTGTCGGCTCTGGGAATTTATTTTAAAATTCTGGACGACAAATTTGTAGTCAGTGAGTTGATTAATGGAATGGCGACGAGTTTTTGAAGCTAGTTTCGAAGGCTTCTTAAACTTGAGATTTCCTCCTTCAAAAAGTGTCAAAATCTGAACTGTATATTTTTAAAAAAAATGGGGAACAGCCTGCTCCACAAATTTATTCGTCCAGAATTTTAAGATATATTCCCAGAACCAAGAAATTAAAAATGTGCTGATTTTGACGATGAGGCATCCAGTTCTACATTAATGGGTAACAACTAACCATCAACTTCCGTGTATGGTCCATGCGTGGCTGCGAACGTGTCTAGCGGCATGACGGTGACCGGTTTTAAATAGAACTTTGGCACGACACCGCCCGGCATGTGGCTCTGAGGTAAAAATTCTTCATTTTCATCGGCCGAAGCTTTCTTGACGATGACGAGGTAAAAGTTGTACTCCATTTCGGTCAAGTGCTCCTCAATCTCGTGAAATTCGACGATCTAGAAACATAATACATACATACAATACATCACATTATTATTGAGTTAACTAATAGTTAACTAATTAACAGAGGGGGGATTTGTATTTATTTTCAGGTTATTCATTTGATGACTGCCGACGGTAAAGTTTTGTGGGTGTGTTCTCTAGCGCTAATAGATCATAAAAATTGCAAGACATCGATAAGTGTTTCTGGGTTTTCAGACATGTAAATAATGATAAAAACTATTATTTGAAAAATACGTAAATCTCTTATATATTTCATAAACATAAATATACCTTTCGTAAATATTTCAACGGTGTGAGACGAATTTTTTGTGTTCAAAGAAATTGGATCACAAAAAATCCAGAAGATTGTATTCAAAACTACAAATTTTGCGAAAACCCTAATTTTTTGAACATATTTCGTAAATATTTCAGCGATTTGTCGTTAGTACATATCCCTGGCCCCCTGCTAATTACAAAGCTAGTTAATTTACCAAAATTGCGTAAGGATGCCTTTGAAACTTGATGGTGAGGCGTTGCTTCCCAATATTTCTGAGGATTGGGTGTTCATCCCACTTGAGCAGGGTAATCCGGTCGCCCGCACTGGCCGGCAAGTGTTGCAGCGTTTTTTCACAGCGACGCTCAGTTATCCAGTATCTGCGATTAATAAATATGGTCCATTTAATATAAAATTTTTAGCCCAAACCAGGACTTATGTAATCGTCATGTCCGTCGGTCTGTTTCTTGACCGACTTTTCAAACTAAAGTACAACTGCTCACCTCAACTGTGAAATGAGCTCCTTCAACTTTGGCGTGTCAATCGACGGAGAGTTGAGCGTTTGCTGGATATCCGACACCACGTGGGGCGAGGGGTGCTCAAATTGAGGTATGTGCACGAGGAACGAGCCCGTCTGAATGTTCACGGTGACCAAGAGTTGCTCAGATCTGGAGATAGATAATCAAAATGAATTTAAATATGCAAATTCCTCCCCATCTATTTTTAGCTCCTCACTTTAGACAATGCGCCAACACAGGGATGCTCAAAATGGGGGGCGATCCTTGCAGGGTACACGAAACGCCGAGAAATATTTCGACCTCTTTCTTCAAGTCGGAGAGACGATTCTTGCTGCGGAGGTAGACCGTGTGCACCATAATCTTCTCGAGCTGATTGCTCCTCAAGCCTTCGCACGTTTGGTTGGCCTCCTCCATCGTGAGAGGAGGTTGGTGGGTCACGCCGAGGGGTTGGGCAGGGTCGGCGGGATCGGTCGAGATGACGAGACGATAACCAAGCTCAGCTTTTGGGTCGAGGGCGCTCAGTTCCCTGGAAGAAATAAGATACAATTTGATTAGGATAAAAATCAGCAAAAATATTCTTCAGACAGATTCTATATTAATATTAGGAATTTTGAATTAAAATTGTAATTTTGTTTAAAAATATGCTTCGTTGCATCTCGTCTTTGATCTATGATTTTCATAAAAGTTAATTAAAAATGGCATTCACTAATTATTTTGCCCTTGTTTATTTCTTATTTTAATTTACGCCACGCAAAAGTGGAGTAACTTCCAAAATGAATGGAATTATCAAGTAAAATTTAAAAAAATATCATATGTCGACTTTTATCTTTGATCTATAATTTACTAATTTTCGTCAAAGCTCTTTAAAATGGGATCCACTAATTATGATTCATTTCGTATGTTAATCAACTCTATAAAAATTAGACTAACGTCCGAAATAGAAAAATTAGTGGAATTGCCAATTACAATTTTGTTCAAAATATAGCTTGTTCCATCTCAAGTTTGATCTATACGCTTTATAAAAGTTGGTTAAAATTGCGTCCACTAATTATTTTGCAATTGTTCATTACGTATTTTGATAACAAAAATTTAGACTAACTTCCAATATCCCAAAATGAGTGACCTCCCGACCGTGTACTCCTCAATCGAGACGAGATCGCCGAGCCGTTCCCTGCACAACTTGAGCACCTGCGAGTACAACACTTCCAACTGGAGGGATTGGGCAAAGGCGTGTAAAATGTCGTAAAGTTCCTTCAGCGGAGAGTGCGACGTGTCCAGGCGAGATTGCGCTAATTGATGGATAAAGTGAATCTGCAGTGGATGAGCTAACGTCATCCCGTCGCCGATGTCTTTATCCTCGACGAGCAGTTCAATCTCGATGATCCGCCAGGGAATCGTGGGCCCGTCCTACAAACAAATTGAAAGATAATTAGATAATTTCAAATGCATAATAAGTACAAACAAACAAACCCCGAGCACGGTGATGGAGACTTGAAACTCGTTCTCGACGCGGAATAGGACGCGACCATTGTCAATTTTTAGGTTGCGCATCTGCGCGGGCAGCTGGGTGGTGACGAGGCGGTGTTGAATTACTTGGTTGAGGCGGTTTAGGGTCGTTTTCTTTTCGATCGTGGTGATCGGGTCGGGTGGGACGATTCGTTCCTGGAATTAGTTAAGAGTAGATTAGCATCATAATTAATTAGTTACTTAATCAATGCAGGACTCGATGATGCATCATAAAAATCGTTAAAATCAAGACATTATTAAGGATTTCTCGCCTCTGGGAATTTATTTTAAAATTCTGGACGCCTAATTTGAAGTCATTGATAGAATGGCGTTGAGTTTTTTGAGGCAGTTTCGACGAGATCCAATTTTCTGAAGGCTTCTTAAACTTGAGATCTCCTTCAAAACGTGTCAAAATCTGGAGTGCACATTTTTATAAATTGGAAAATTCCTGCTCTACAAATTTGTCGTCGAGAATTTTAAAATAAGTTCCCAGGGCGGAGAAATGACTGATTATTTTGGCGATGGGTCATTGAGTCTTGCGTTAAGTGATTTTAGTTAATAATTTAATGTACCCTGATACACGTCGGTAACCGGTTATACGTCCCCGTCGTGAGCACCTCGACGGCAGCAGGGACGTGGAAATTTGGGAGTCTAGCGTGAACCAAAGTTTCTCTCGCCATGCGCGACAAGATATCCGCCGATTCAACAAATATCATTGACTGTTTCTCTAAAAAGGCCATTATGTGCTGTAATAAATAAAAGTTAATTATGTATTTATAAAGGGATGACAATTAACTTTAATAACTAGACAATTAAATATTTAATTACGCACCACAGATTTGTCCACTTTCGCCGCGGATGACGCCCATTTGACCAACGCCAACAATCTGACTGCAAGCAGTCTCGTTCTCGCGGAAAAGTTGAAGATTTCCTGTTTTCGTTCCATATCCGTTTTTCGTGGTAGTCTGCAGTTAAATAGATAATTAATTAGTTCGTTAATAATTAAGCCAATTAAATTAATGTATGTACTTACAGCTCCGTCAATACGGTGAGATCATGATAAGTCCGTTGCACGATAAAGTCGATAAGCAACGAGAGCGGGATTGACCCCGCGGGGGCTGGGATTGCTGGAGCTGTTGGTGCATGGCGACTAATTGACCGCCATGTTGCTGCTGCTGTTGTGGCGTCGATGTCGCCGAGGGCATCGACTGATTCACCATGGATGGCGTTAAGGGGCCACGATCCATCGACATCATCCCCGGTCCTGGTGACATGGCGGCACGAACCATGGGACTCATCATTTTAAGGGAGACGTTATCAGTAGATAAGATGACGGGACGTGGATAACGTTCTTTTATGCAGAAAGTCAGTTAGATAATTAATTATGTAGTAAAATCACGATAACTCATTGTCTGTATTTAATTAACTGGATTTAATTGTTCCATTAGCACTAGCACGACCCGAATTATGAACAGTTTACGTCACATTTTTGAAATTTTCGTGATTCTGAATGTTTTTAAATATAAGTTTTGATTCTTAAAATCAGATTTTTGTGTGCAAATTCGAACTTATGATAAGTTACTTATCCTTACAAGCTGAATTTCTGTTGCCGGATTGGACCCCACTATTTTAAATGAGACGTTATCTTATCATTAGATAAGTAAATAAATCTAAAACTGAACGTTTTTTACTCGTTTCACAGAAATCCAGTTTAATTAGATAATAACTACAATTACGGATCACCCCTTATCGTCACACCGTCTTTACTACTGTCACATTATCACGACCCGAATAATGAACAGTTTACGTCACATTTTTGAAATTTTCATAATTCCCAAAAATTTATAAATATATAAGTTTCCGATTCGTAAATAAATCAGATTTTTGTAAAACTTGGAAGCTGATTTTTGGTTGCCGGATGGGACGCGAATTTCAAAGTGAGGCAAATTGAGACTAAATTGCGCTCTAAATTTCGTGATGTTCGCCTCCGTGTCTTTCCAAAATTTTGTTTATTTTTTAAAATTTTAGTTTAATTTTGTTTATAAAATTTCGAAAATATAATGTCCGGTTTTACGGAAAGTGGATTTGAACGTAAATTAGCCGAGTTAAATTCTACCCAAGTTTCCATCCAGACTTTATCCTTGTGGCTGCTGCATCATAAAAAACATGTCAACACGATTGTGAAGGTTTGGTATAAAGAATTTTTAAAAGGTATTTTAACTATAATTAAATTAATTTAGGGTTTAATTGTGTATTAACTAATTGTCTGTGTTTAATTAATTAGCCCAAGAACATAGGAAACTAACTTTCATCTATTTAGTGAACGATGTTATTCAAAACAGTAAAAAGAAAGGGGGCGATTTCGGGAAATTGTTTGCCCCCTGTTTGAAAAAGGCGTTGGAATACATGGCAAGAAATCCGGAAGATAAAATGAAAAAGAGTATCCTTCGTATTTTAAAGATTTGGGAGGATCGTGGGATTTACGAGTCTGGTAAGTAAGTCGCCAAATCAGGATGAATAAATTACTTGTGTACTTTGATCTCTGTCCTTCCCAGGGTTTGGATTTCCAGGGGTGTTACACCCACAAAAGGACAAGAATCAACATGGAGAAGGAAACAGTCGTACGAAAATGCATGTTTTGTGAAGAAATTAACTATTTATCACTGCTAAAACACTGTATTTTTTAAAAATCGTTAACACAATGTATTGTGACCACGATAAATAGTTAATTTCTTCACAAAACATGCATTTTCTTAGAACTATACCCTTCTCCACGTAGATTTCGTCTTTTTGTGGGTGTTGTGTAACAGCCCCAGAAATCCAAACTCTGGGAAGAACAGAACTCAAAGTACGCTATTTTCACAAAGGCCGTGGGTTTACAAATTTTAAGTGTAAACTTTAAATCTGTTTGTACTTACAGCTTTAATCAAAGACTTTGAAAGCTCATATCGTAAAATGTGGGATGATTTACATGGTCCCGACGTCGACGAATTGCTAGAAGAAGCCATCGAAAAACCGGTCAAACCTCCCGTCACCAATAATACAAATAATACCTCAAGTAATAACAATACGGATAAAGCAGCAGCCTCAAGTCAAAAGACCTCCGCGTCGAAAAGTGGTAGTAGCGATAAGCTGGCAGTAAAAGACAAAGAACGAGAAAGACGAAAACGCCACCACCATCATCACCACAAGCACAGTAAAGAAGACCCGAAAAAACAAAATAATGCCTCCACGACGCCCACGATACCGACGGAAGGAGCAGTGGCAACTGGTTCCTCGACACAACAAGGAACCAGTATTTCTCCGACGCCCGAAGTAATTACACTCACAGGCGGCACGGATGAGCCGGATTCTGACGCTGTCGCCGTGAAAAAAAGACGAGCGAGATCCAAAGAGTTTCAAAATTTGAGGAAACAAGCCATGATTGCGGAGGATATGAATACAATAGAAGAATGGGAGGTGGATGGCGTGTCGCAGATGGAAATTAAGTTGTCGCCGTCGCCGTATAAAGATCCCCCGACGGAGGAGGAGTTAATTGCGCTCCTTAAGGTGAAAGAGAACGGAAATTTGTACGGGTGGGGAAATACTTTGTGAAAATGCAGTGTTTTGTACTAGCTGTTCTTCGTCAGGGTTTAGATTTCAGGGGCTGTTACACCCACAAAAAGACGAGAATCTATGTGGAGAAGGCAACAGTCGTTCGAAAATACGGGCTTTGTGAAGAAAGTAACTTTCGATCGCCGTTAAAATACTGAATTTTAAAAAATCCTTAAAATCAGGTATTTTAGTAGCGATAAAAATTTAATTTCTTCACAAAACCTGTATTTTCGTAAAACTGCTGCCTTCTCCACGTAGATTTTCGCCTTTTTGTGGGTGTAACACCACTGGAAATCCAAACCCTACGAAGAACGGAGCTCGAAATATTCTATTTTTGCAAAATATTTTGCCCACCCTTTCAAACTTGTTACTTTTGTCACAAATTTAACATGATTATTTTGCATCTTCACAGACTTTGGAAAAAATGCCCAGCACGGATGCCGCGACACGGGGCAAGATTGCAAATTTGCCTCCAGAAGTGTCCGACGTGAAGGGGGTGGATACCCTCTGCATTGATTCTGACGTGACGAGAGACCTCCAAAACAAGATCAAGGCTGCCCTCGACCTCCTCAAGGACTACAATGTCAAGTTGGACGCCGAGTTGGAGGAGAGGAAAACCGTGTCGATGAAACTGCAAGATTTAATCTATTTTCAAAAGGATCTCTTAACGCAGGCCGAGCATAGATTGGAGGTGTGTGATTTTTAACAGACGTGGGGAAAATATTTTGTCAAAATACAGTATTCTGGGCTCCGGTGTTCCCAGGGTTTAGATTTCCGGGGGTGTTACACCCACAAAAAGACGAAAATCTGCACGGAGAAGGCAAAAGTCATACGAAGATACACATTTTTTTAAGAAATTAACCTTTTATCACGGTCAAAATACAACGTTTTTGAAAAATCGTGAAATTAATGCATTTTGACGGCTCGATAAAAGGTTGATTTCTTTTGAAAACCTGTATTTTCATAAGACTTTTCCCTTCTCGACGTAGATTTTCGTGTTTTTGTGGGTGTAACAGCCCTGGAAATCTAAACCCTGGAAGAACAGAGCTTAAAATATTGTATTTCGACAAAGTACTTTGTCTACCACAGATAAATCAGTGATTTTTCAGTTGAAATTATTACCGGATAGTAAATATGAAAAATTCATGAATTTTGATTGACTGAATTCACAGGAACACCAACAATACGGTAAAATCCTGACCAGGAAACTAGAAGAGATGAAGTCGCATGTACAAAGTATGCCGGATTTGTCAAAATTGCCCTCGGTCACGGACGGGTTAGCTCCACTACCCTCGGCCGGAGATTTGTTTAATATTTAACAGATTTAAATTTATTAACCAGGCAGAAATTTATCAACTCCCAAAAAGAATAACATAAATTTATGTATAAGCTTCTTCCAGATACTCGTGAGTATTATTTTTAACTTTAACTTGTTTTACAATCCATGTTTTCTTGTAGATCTTTATATAATTAATTAAGATAATTACAATAATTAGGGTATTAGCGAACACAATACTTTGTCTTTACAAGCAAAACATTCAAATTTATTGCCTTATTAAATATGTTTAAATTTGTTATGCATAGATGATGATGTTGTTCAACAACAATAAAAAGAAAACTTGATGATATATAACAAAACGATACAAAATTTACAGGGAAATGTGCACATGTAATTTAGGACTTGATGACTTATCGCAAAAATTGTCAAAATTAACACATTTGTAATCATTTCTCAGCTTTGGGAATTTATTCTAAAATTCTGAACCACAAATTTGTAGAGCAGGGGTCGTTCCCAATTTTTAAGAAATACGTGGGTGTTTTATTATTAATTTTCAAAATGTATGTTCCACACTGTTTCTGACCAAACTTTTGATGAAATAACAAACTTCAAATACTTTTAGAATGCTGTGATTTTTTTCAGTTCTGTAGGTTAACATTAACACTAGCAATAACTCATTAAAATTTACCTCGAAAATATGCCAAAATTTACGACTTGATTTCATTATCATCCGAAAACCGTTTTCCCCTGATGTTTTTCTTTAAGTTTCGAAACGAATAATAATCACTAAGGGTCAAGTCCGGACTGCACGGGGTGTGGTTTGTGCAGGTAAAGCGATTTTCGTCTGCACTAACCCTCGCAAAAAGCCAGGTATGAGGTGGCGCGTTGTCGTCTAAAAAAAGGCCAACTCTTTATTTTGACCCCACGTTTCTTTTCAACCGGAGGACGCAGCTCCTTCGGGGTTCCTGCATACACGGCCGTAGTATTTACAGCAATAAATTTTATAAGGAGGGGACCTTTGGTATCCTTGAAAGTGGTCATCATCATTTTTTTGTCAGATTTTTGCACTTTTCAATTCACGGGCGGTGGCAACCCCTCGTGCTTCCATTGAGGGAATTATTATTTGGTCACCGGGTCATAATAGTAAACCCAAGTACCATATGCAACTAATAAAATATTGAGCAGGTTCAAGTCTTCATTTAATAGGTTAAAATTGGCATTGCAAAAGTCGACTCGATCCTGTTTTTGAGATGCTGAAAGCAATTTTGGTACCCAACGGGCGGAAACCATTTTCATACCTAAGTCTTCAGTTAACATGGAACAAATTGCTGGTTTTGAAACACCCATCTCATCTGCTAAATAGGACAGTTTCAATCGCGGATCTCTCATTATTTGTTCCTCTAGTTTCCGGAGCCTTTCTGTGGAAGAAACGGATTTTGAGCGTCCTGGCGACTTTTTGCCCGAGACCTCGTTTCGCCATCATTTAAAATTATTGACCCAATTGAATTTGTGTTTTGTGTTGGGCAGTCTTCATCGTAAATTTTAAGGATTCAACCATAAATCTGCGACACTTATTACCCATCCAGCATTAAAAATTAAATCACACTACGATATGTAATTTGCAAATCTAGCATTTTTTCCGTCGAGGTAAATTTTAATGAGTTATTGCTAGTGTTTATGTTAACCCACAGAGCTGAAAAAAATCACAGCCTCCTAAATGTATTTGAAGTTTGTTATTTCATCAAAATTTTGGTCAGAAACAGTGCGGAACATACCTTTTGAAAATTAATAATAAAACACCTACGTATACACTCCAGATTTTGACACTTTTTGAAGGACGCAATCTCAAGTTTAAGAAGCCTTCAGAAAAATTGGACCTCGTCGAAACTGGCTCAAAAAACTCCATTCCAAAAACGCCATTCCATTAATCAACTCACCGACTACAAATTTGTCGTCCAGAATTTTAAAATAAGTTCCCAGAGGCGAGAAATGATTAAAAATGTGCTGATTTTGACAACTTTGGTGATACGTCTTCGATGCCTACGAGTTAAACTAGTTATAAATTAGGTCTTCTTGATCCACTCGGCGTGATCCGCTTCGGCCACTCGGTTCCCTAAGAATGATATCTGTTTGGTCAAAAGTTGAAGGTCCCGGTCCGTCTTGGCTGATATGGTGGCCGGGTCGGCGACGGCTTCGAGGGATGCAAGCCTGATTCCCAGGTCGGCCATTTTTTTCCGCATTAAAATGTCCGTGTTGGAAGGGCCCTCCAAAATTTCGGGTTTTACTGAAATTTATTGTAGAGGCAAGTTTAGTGAAATTGAATTTATGTAAATGACTAGCAATGGAGATCTCCCAGCGCATGCTCTCCGATTTTGAGCAAACTAGTGTGAATCGATAGCAAATTTAATTAGTATTAAATTTGCGAAAGACACGACCTCCCAATGGGGACGTTTCGCAGAAATGTTTGTATTCGAAGAGGAGAAAACGCGTCCTAAAGTTGACAAATTTTACATTTTCCAAATTTACTGCACGTTTTTCCTTCTTCGGATGCAACAATCTCTGCAAAATGTGCCCATTGAGAAATCTTCGCCTTTACAAATTTCATCCTAATTAAATTGGTCATCGATTGACACTAATTTGCTCAAAATCTGATAGCATACGCTGAGAGACCTACATGTAATTATGAAATTCTTATGTATGTACCGTTTTGATGTGGTCGACACACCGTAATTTTGACCAAGTCGCACTTTTCTACCATGCACCAAGGGATGAGCTTCCCTTTATACTGGAGTTTGATAACGGAATCCTTCGGGAGTTTGAATTTATTGATGAATGCAATTTTGGAAAGGGGACAGGGAAGCTGACCCTTGGGGAGAGTCATGGTCACCATCGTTCTCGGAGTGGGGGACCCGTCAGTTTTGTTATTTGCAGCGTTGTTGAGTTGAAGGTCTTGTCGGATGAGGTATATCATCACTTTAAGTAAAGATAAGTGATTTTGGGTGAGAAATTCTGAAATTATGTCAAATTTAATGTATTTGTAATGAAAAATAAGGGCTACTATTAGTAAGGTGAGTTTTTGTGTAGCTAAATTTCAATAGGAGATAACTTCTTACCTGAATTTGCTTATCGATAATTATTAATTTATTTAAATAGGTTATCTTAATGTTCTTTGTCTAACAAATTCTGAAATAATGTCAAATCTAATGAACACACGTGGCCTGTAATGAAAAAGAAACATTACTATTAGTAAGATACGTTCTTCTGTACTTGAATTTTAATGAGAGATAACTTCTTACCTGAACTATCTTATCGAGAATAATTTATTAATTTATTTAAAAATAGGTTATCTAATCTTAACCTCAGTTTCTTAATAAATCTGAGAATTTGAGACTGAATCGCGCCGGGAAATTCAAATGTATATTTATTTTATACCGCTGAATAAAAGTGAAAAGCCGCAAAAGTTGTTCTTTAAAGTTTCAACAATTAATTAACTAGTTAATTGTACTTAAAAATAATTGATTATTTGGCACGGTGTAGGTGGTAAGTCTATTAATCATAAACGTGTTGCGATTGCAAATTACAGGAAGGTTTTAATTGCAAGTTAGAGCGATGGCGAAACAACCCAGCCGAAGTGATCGAGATCGCCTTGACCGTTCCAATTCTGGCGGAGGGCGGAAGGACAGCAGCAGTAGCTTAAAAAGAGATCGTCTATCGTCCAAGGAGGACAGGCGGCTCAGAAATGAAAGAGAACCACTAGTGAAATCCGGCAGACTGTCGTTATCATCATCCTCCTGCGGTAAATCCGACCCTTCTAGTTCAAAACAGACCAATTCATCATCTTTTGGGAAAACCAATCTAATCCCACCCACAGAATCGAAGATGGACGTGGATAAAGATCCAGTAACGTTGAATAAGAAAGAGTTGTATGAAGTGAGGATAATAATTCATTTCGTGGTAGAAATTAGTGGCTTCAATTTCAGTTATTTTAATTATGGTTTGTTTTTTAGAGCGTTGTCGAGCATGAGAACAATTTGGCCAAATCTCTCAATGCAACGCAAAGTTTGAGCGAAGGTCACAATATTTGTGCAGAACTGGAGAAGAATTTGCAGGAAATTATGTCCATGCTGACGACACCCACGACAGATGAGGTTAAATTTTTATTCTGCCCTTATCTCACCTTGTCTTCTTGTGATTGCTGGAATTACAATAATATTTTATTCGTACAGGACGATTTTGAAGACAAAATGGAAGAAGGTCTAATGAAGTTATCGAGCCTTCGTTTAATAAATCGGATGATGAAATTGAAACTAAAGTCGGTCAAGGACGAGCAGCTCAGTGTGAGAAGTGGCGTAGATTCTGATCACCTTCACCTTCAAAACCTTTTGTATGAAGCGACAATATTGCAAAAGCAAGCCGCAGCCGTTCAGGAATATAAGTATGAACGAAGAAATTTATGAAAATTGCGATTTAAAAAACGATTTGACGTTTTATTTTTCATCCTTGTTTTTTCAAATTTTAGGGGAAAAGACGCATTAATTGATCTCATTCCGATCGAGCAATTTTATGAAGAAGCGCCAGAGAAGATAACTAAAACCGTAATTTAAACATTAATTAAATCTACTAATTAAATTAAATTAATTGTTCTATATTAACTAATTGTCCATTAGAAGTCTACCAAATCGGATCCACACTTACAACGAATCGCAAGACTAGAGTACGAATTTGTTCAAAGACGAAAACTTACTGAAGATTGCAATTCCTTGGAGAAAGAAAAGGAATCTGCGTCCAAACGTATTACTGACACGCAAGGAAAACTTGACAGCATTTGTCCCTTGTTGAACAGCATCCTGGATGCGACAAAACCTCTCCAGCAGATTTTTGGAATTGAAATATCGTCGAAAAAGGAAGAAAACGAAATCGCACAATATCTTCCGGCAGAATTGTACGTTTTGTTCGTTCAGTCGAATGCGTTCAGGGAAGCAAACGGTATAACAAATATTTAAAAAGATTTTCTTTATATGCAAGTGCTCTCAATGCTCTGTTTCGCATGTAAGAAACGACTTGCAAGAAATTACGGGGAGAAAGTGGTTTCTTGCAGCTGCATATTTTGACCTGCAAGAAACGCACGGTGCAAGAAACTACTCCATAAGGCGCGTGGCTGGATGGCGCACACTTCTCGCAGTTTTTTGCACCTCGCATTTTTTGTGTTTGTTGCAATTTCGTGCGTGGGTTGTTTTTCAGTGCGAAAAATGTAGCAAATCCCCAAACAACTCCAACTCTAATGTACTTTTTTAATATTTAGCAGAAAAAATGGATTTGGTAGTTCATCTACGTGGAAATGTGGAGGCAGCTAAAGAATTAATGGTCACCCCAGAAGAAGACAAAGATGATTCTGATTCCGACAAAGAGCTGGATTTCGATGAGACGGAGGTAAATAAATATTACTTTTAATCAATTTTTGATCAGTTGAATAATTATTTCCTAAAAAATTCTTTCTTGTTAGACATCAAGAAGAGTAATACGGAAAAAGAGCTCAAATAACTTATCACGGGAAGATGCGAAGAACAAATTAATAGAAAAACATCCCTTGTGGATTGAGTGGATCGTTAGCTCGAAGGGTATTAATTCAAATTAATAAAAATAACGTGATTCGTGAATATTTGAAACTTTTCTACATAATTTTACTAAAACTTTTCAGGTTCAAATGCCGTACTGATTCAATTCTTTTACCTGAGAAAACTCAAAATCATTACGGTAAAGGCTAAAACGGTGGACGACGTCAACAAAATTCCAGAGTAATTGGATATAAAAAATTATAATTAGTGATACATTTTTGGTTTTATTCTGATTTTAATTTTCTTTTGTTCATAAATAGTTGCGAAATCGCGTCATCGGAGAGTTTGTTGGAAGACTTATTTCCAGACGATACGGGATTATACAGCCCAAATCCGGCTAATCGGTACCTACTTCAAAAAGTTGATACGAAGGAAATTGCAGATTTTGTGTCCGCGACGGGCAGACCTTTTCTCTGGGCGCAGAGACTCGCGGGTGTGGAATTTCCTCCTTTGACTGTAAGGAATTTTTCAAATGGTTTTGATTTTGATAAGAATTATTAATAATTTCTATTAAATAGGAGCATTCCGATGCAAATGACGAAAGTTTAAGTCGTCCTAAGATGGAAACGAGTTATCTGAATATTGAAATCGTCTTGAAAAAGATCAAATTGCGTCTTTCGAACCAAACTGCGTTACACGAACAGTTAAAACTTTTAGGTATTCAATTTTCAAATACTTCAAGTCAAATATCGCTTTATGCATGTTTTCAGTTTATTCGTGAGCAGTCCTTAATTTGTGTAAAGTAATATTTACTTATCTTATTGGTTATGTTTGCAGAAGCGAAAAATTTGGAGATTCCGACCGATGCAAAGGAATTGTTTCCAGCCAAATTGTCCACCACGTTTAAATCTTGGGAATCAATCAATTTTACGACTTATTGTAGCTACTCTTTTGCGAAAGAACATTTGCGCACGGATATCGTGGCTGGAGAGAATATATTTTTTCGAGCATGTTTGGAGCGAGGTCGAGGTATGCATGGTTAACGTAGGACTTGATGACTCGTCACCAAAATTAGCACCTTTTTAATCATTTCTCGTCTCTGGGAATTTATTTTAAAATTTTGGACGAGAAATTTGTAGTCAGTGAGTTGATTAATGGAATGGCACTGAGTTTTTTTTAGCCAATTTCGATGAGTTCCAATTTTTCTGAAGGCTTCTTAAACTTGAGATCTCCTCCTTCAAAAAGGGTCAAAATTTGGAGTGTATATTTTCAAAAAATTGGGAACGACCTGAAGATGGTAAAAAAATGGGAAAACTGGGCGATCATGAGTTTTGCACATACAGATGAATTTTGCAAATTTCATAGATTTGTTTATTTGTTAAATATCATAATTGCCTTAATTAAGTCTAAAAAAAAATAACTATCTGTCAGTTTGTAACGACCTCGTAATTCGATTTACTATCTTTCATGGTAGTTTACTAATTTCATGCACTTATAAATAATTTAATCATCGTTGTCATCTTACAAATCATAACTTTTTGGGAAATTTCAAGAATTGGCAAACCTCACGAATTTGACAAATTTCACGAATTTTCAAATTGTCACGTGTCAAAATCTGGAGTATATTTTTTTAATTTTTAACGACCAGCACTACAAATTTGTCGTGCAGAACTTTAAAATAAATTCTCATAGCTGAGAAATGAAAATGTGCAGATTTTGGTGATGAGTGATCGAGTCCTGCGTTAAAAACGACACAACTCCGAGAAAGTATTAAGTATTCCATGTAAATTGATAACTTTCTAGCACGGATCACTGCATTGGTCACATTTACCTCCAATTTCCCCATAACGCCACCCGTGTTCTCGATTCAGCTTGAAAAGGAGGGAGCAGGAGAAAGGAATTCCACAAATGATGCCGTAATTCGGGTGCGTCTCATTTAATAAATTCGGAAATATGACTCGATTTGAAATTATAATTACTATTTTGTTTTCAAATACCAGCATTTAGAATGTGAAGTGAACCTATATTGCCTTGAAGATTTCCAACAATGGCCCAAAATTCTGGCTAGTCTCCAACTACTCCGACTTATTCAAGGGATCGACATTATCTTAGAGACAGATTTTCTAGTCGGGGAATCTTCAAGTTCTTCAGAATTTGTCAATGAGAAATTATTGCTTCGGGCGTCAACGTAAGCGAATCATCATTAATGAATTAAATATTCTATTTAAAATTTTGGTAATTATTTTATTTATATTTCACAAATTTTTTAGCGGTCGGAATCTTAGAAGACCATTCAAATACTGTGGAACTGGTGGGGGTTATTTTTCACAGCGATACTAGCACGTTTTTTATTAGAAATAAATATTTACATAATGTTTGTTACATTTTACAAAGTTTATATATGTATTTACATATTTTTGGTCTTAATCTTGTTAAAAATAATTAGTGATGCTTATAAATATTTATGCATTTGATATAAATATGACAATTGTTCCTATATCTATAAATAGCCTTTGTTATTGCAATTTTTGCAAGATTTATACAAATTACGTAATGCATATTTTTGAAACTGCCTGATAGTACTTACAACAAGACATGCATTTTATAATTTCAAATGTTTCACTAACATGGTTTTGAAGTATGAGTTACGTAAGTGATGTTGTAAATACGACACCATGTCGAAATGGGCGAATAATCTAAGTTTATTATATATATTCATACAAAAGACGCAGCTCAATTTTCGCAAATCAGATCGATTAGCAATTTATTTCTATGTAATTACGGAAATCTGCATGATGAGAAGATGATGCTTGATGGAAATTTTGCATATGTTTTGAGCATGAGTTATCCTACGTGCACGTACCATGTCGAAAATTCGTGTCGATAGAGTTGATCGTAGAGTTGATCGTACATATTCATACAAACGACGCAGTTTTGTACATGTACTCAATTCTGAAAATCAGATCGATTCCCAATTTCTTTCTATGCAAATAGAATTACAGAATGGAAATTTATCTGGGAAGATGGAAATTTTGCACAGATTCTGAGCATGACTACTATATTGCAACACCATGTCGAAAATTCATGTCGAAATAATCAAAGTTTGTCACGTACTCATACAAAAGAAAAGACGCAACTCAATTTTCGATGATCAGAAATCAAATAATTTCTACTTACGCAGAATGCAAATCTGTTTCATGCCTGATGGAAATTTTGCATACATATATTTTGACCATTAGTTATGTCATGTGATATACTGCACCATATCGAAAATTCATGTCGATAGAGTTGATCGTACATATTCATAAAAAAGACGCTATGTAATTTGTACCCAATTCTGAAAATCAGATCGATTCTCAATTTCTTTCTATATAAATAGCAAATCTAAATCTGTCTTAAAATATGTTTGATGGAAATTTTGCATATTTACATTTGGTTTAAAGCATGAATTGTACGACACCATGTCGAATTCATGTCGATCCTTAACAAGACGCAGCTACTCAATTCTCGAAATCAGATCGATTCGCAATTTCTACGCAGAATGAAATCTGTTTCATGCTTGATGGAAATTTTGCATAGATTTGTTGGGAAATCCCTTCTTCATTTCATACTATTTACTTACTTGATCTGGTTTGTTTTGTTTGTTAGCACGAACAGCCAGCAACCCGACCACCGAATAAGTCTCGATGTTAGAGAAGATGATACGTTTTTTATCGGGTATCAACAAAAAAGTGAATATCCACCCTGCCCGTGAACCGATAAGTTCAATGGGGAAAATTATGTTGAAATTTATTCCCAATTTAATCCCAATTAAACCTTAAATTTACGATTAATTTACGATTTGTCTGCACGTTCCCATCCATCCATCTGCTGTTTGCTTGGACGTAATAACATTTACTGCAGGTTCGTCAGTTTCCGTAAAAAAGACAACTCCGCAATACTATTTCTGAAAGTATTTCTTCATTCTTGGAGACAAAACGCAATAGTTTTGGGAAGTAATTGGGAGGATTGCTTATCTTTAATAAGGATAAGGTAAGAGTTAAGATTTAGAAAATTTGGGTAATTGGTTTAGTGGGTTAATTAATTAAAGGATTTATTGCGTTGCATGGAAAAGAGAGAGATTGGTGTTTTTAATTTGTAATTCTTAAATAATGATAATTGACGCCTTATCTTTAGAGTGGATAAGGTACGATTTAAGATTTAGAGAGTATTTAGGTAATTGTTTACTGGGTCAATTAATTAGAGAATTCATTACATGGAAAAGTGGTTATCTAGAGAGATAGATTGTTAGTTTTGGACCAAAACTTTTGGTTGCTAATTAATTGCGAGGATTCCTTACCTTATCTTAGATTGGATAAGGTAAGATTTAATACTAGGTTAATTTAGCGTAGAGGGTTTAAAGGTTAATTAAAGAATTCGTTTCATTTCATTGTTTGGAAAGTGGAGGAGAGAGAGATTGTGATGTTTTTTAAGTTTATTATTGATAAGGTGTTATCTAACATTCTATTTGTCTTGTCAGGATCCCATTGAACTCTGTGATTGGATAGATGCACACAAAACTGGAGAGATTTGTACAATAACAATAATTAATTAACTGCGCCATACGGCATGCTGGCTGATTAAACTTTAACTGGAGAACGACACATTTGTGAAGATGATAAGTTAACCGATCTCGCGTCTTAATTTTCTTCGACGTTTAAGAAACAATTTAGAAAGAAGGAAAAGACGAATTTAAGTAAAGGACGGATTCAAAATGGGAGGTGCTGTAAGTTCCGGGGAGAGTAATGACGAATTAATTGACAATTTAATGGAATCTGATTACATTAAGGTGAGTTTAAATTGATTTGATTAATTAATGAATTGGTGTCTTAATTAAGGGTTTAATTAATTACAGACGACCAAGGTGGAACATGTCTTCCGAGCTGTGGGTAAGGCATCTTGTTCACTTATCAATCATTCAACTTCATTCATGACGACTTATCATTCTTATGAATAAGTTAACTACTTTGTAAAGATAGAGTATTTTGAGCTCCGTTCTTCCCAGGGTTTGGATTTCCAGGGGTGTTACACCCATAAATAGACGAAAATACATGCAGAGAGGGCAACAGTTATGTGAAAATACAGGATTTCTAAAGAAATTTACGTTTTATCGGTGGCGAAATACTATATTTTTTAAAAATTTGTGAAAATAATGCAATGGTGAGAAGTTAATTTCTTCACAAAACCCGCATTTTCGCATGACTATTGCCTTCTCCACATAGATTTTCGTCTTTTTGTGGGTGTAACAGCCCCGGAAATCCAAACCTTAGGAAGAACAGAGCTCAAAATACTGTGTTTTGAAAATCGTGTTTTATTTGACCTTTTTTGATAAATTTAGACCGTGCCCTGTATTACACGGATGCATTCAAATCCAACGCGTACAAGGATTTAGCTTGGAAAGATGGGAACCTGCATTTATCCGCGCCCTGTATTTACTCCGTCGTGCTGGAGAATTTGAAGCTGGAAAAAGGCACAAGTTTCCTGAATATGGGGTCCGGAACGGGGTATTTTAGCACCTTGTGTGGCCTAATGATTGGAAAGAATGGGATTAATCATGGGATTGAATTGCACCCGGAGGTCGCAGAGTATGGAAGGTGTGCTAAAATAGATATTTATTTCATTAATTAAGAGTTTTATATACAACGTTTACATAATTTTTGTAGAGATAAACTGGAAGAATTCCTCTCCATATCGCCAGCAATTGATGGATTTGATTTTTGTATGCCGGAATTCGTCGTGGGGAATTGTTTGAACCCGATCTCGAGTAGTATTCGCTACGAAAGGATTTACTGTGGGGCGGCCTGCCCGGAAGAAATGATTCGAAATGTGACTGATTTGCTCAAAGTGAGTTTAGATTCTTTATTAATTTTAATTAAATTTGAATTACTGCAGACTCATCGCCAAACTCAACACGTTTTTAATCATTCGTCTACTTTGGAAATTTATTTTAAATTTCTGGATTTCGTCAGTAAGTTGATTGGCGGAATATCGTCGAGTTTTTTGAGTCAGCTTCGATAAGTTCCAATTTTTCTGACGTCTTCTTAACTTTGAGATCTCCTCCTTCAAAAAGTGTCAAAATCTGGAATATTTCTTAAAAATTTGGCAACGACTACAAATACGTCGTCCAGATTTTTAAAATAAATTCCCAGAGCTGAGAAATAATGTGGAAAGTGTGTGGATTTTGGCTATTTTGATGATAAGTCATTGAGTCCGATGTTTAGTTAGAGCGTTGAGTTTGTTGAGTTATTACTGGAAATTTAATTTTAATTAATTCTTTCCCAGGTTGGAGGAATATGTGTAATGCCAGTAAACGATTCGCTCATGCAGATAACTCGCATATCTGAAACTACAAGTGAGAGAAAGTCTCTGCTCCCTGTCTCATTCGCAACCTTGATCGCACCACCACGCGGAGGAACCGATAAGAAACCAGTCGTTCTTCGTAAGAAACAATATGTTTATAACCTTGATGAAGTTTAATGATAAGCAATTAATCAACTTTGTGTTAACCACGCAGCTAAACTGAACCCATTAAGTCTGAAAGAACTGTGTCGGATGGAAATACGTGGCATTATTCGGAGCGGATTTATGCAACCGGACGGCCGCATGCCGCCCGGCAAGGAGAAAAAGAAGCGTCGACACCGTCGCCGACAATTGCGACAGGAACAGCGTCGTCGCGCCAGTCGACTTCTCGTCGTGCAAAGGAGACAATCAGCGTAAGACTTGAGCTACAAATTTTATTTTGTCTCTTTGTAAACTTTGCAATTTACATCTCTCAGCGTATGCTCTCCGATTTTGAACAAACTAGTGTTAATCAACCATCAATTTAATTAGTATGAAATTTGCGAAAGACACGATCTCCCATTTGACGGAAATATTTGCATCCCAAGAGGAGAAAACGCGCAGTTAATGTGGAACGTGTGAAATTTGTCGACTTTACGACGCATTTTCTCCTCTTCGGATGCAAATATTAAAAATATCTAAAAAAAAATATCTCTTTTTTTAATATCTCTGCCAAACGTGCTCATTGGGAGATCGTGTCTTATGCAAATTTCACACTAATTAAATTGATGGTCGATTGACATTATTTTGCTCAAAATCGGAGACGCTGGGAGATCCATTGTTAGATTGTTAAGTTAACTGTCTGTCTCAATTGCAGCGGTGACGATGGCGAAACCGGTTTCGTCGCGGTCGCCTACTCTCTCGGAAATGACAACTCTTCCGGCGACGAATATTACGACGGTGGACTCGTCGTGCACGACAACCACGATCACGAAGACGACGAAGAAGGAATGAACGACGTATTGTCCCCCGCGACGGACACGGATGACACGCAGACTGACAGTGATAACGAAATGCCCGCTTTGGAAGGGGACAATGTCCCCCCACCACCACCACCACAAGCACAAGCGTCTACTCTGCCAGAACCAGTAGCACCAGCCCCTAGCACGAGTAGCTCCTCTTCCTCCGCCGTCCCCCCAACGCCCCAGTCGTCAAGTAGTCGACCTCATAGCATCCTCTCCCGACGTAACGACGACTTGCCCCTTGCCGGCGAACCCGACAACAACGCTCCACCGGGCAACGGTTTCCTCGGGGCGAACGGAAGTGACACGTTTCTCCGCCGGATTCGCGAACTTTACCAAAGAAGGGAACAAAGGGGTGGATTTCGTCAATTGTCCGGCCTCATTGACGCCGTTCAATCCGCCGCCCCGTTCATGCGGGCACGTGCTGCGGCTAATGCGGCCGCTGCTTCAACTTCTACCGGACAAAGAAGTGAAGGTTCCCCAAGTAATTATGACTCGGCATGTCACTATTCGTCACATTCGTCTCTGACATCCTCCACGATTTCGACATCATCCAACGACACCTCGCCATCCGACGATAGCGACGAAGAAATGGATGGGCGACGAATCAATCCGAATCATCTCTTCTCAAAGAATGGACATCATCAACCCATTTCCGGCAGCGCGGAGTCCGGCGTGGTCGTGACGGATTCGCCAGAACGGAAAGATGACGACGACCAAGACCAAGAAATGTTGGGCGACGAAGGTGACGACGCTGACGCCGACGCCCAGAAGGGCAAGAGCAAGAAGATGCGAAAACGTAAGAAGGCCGGCAGTCATAAGAAGACTCGTTACTTGCGTGGCCCCCTGAACCCCCCGCCCGCCGAAGTATTTGAGGAAATGGAGCGTGAAGCTGAAGAAGCGGAACGGCGGGTGGCAGAAGAAGACGCGGAAGAAGCATTGCTCGACAACACGCCGGCCGGCAGACTGAAACGGAACCCGGCTTCGGTCGAGATGCGAACCCGAATCGGACAACTTCCCATGCTCCCACCTCCGGTCAAATTGTACCTTAATTTTTACCGGCAACTCGACCTTGATTGATTTATGCGCATTTTCATAATAATTATTGATGATTATTATAATTAACGATGATAACTGATGATTTTTTGGTGCTTTATAATATTTAGCTACACACAAATGATGATACACATTTAGCTACGTAGAATTGTTTACTTACTATTATACCGTTCTTAAGACTAAGAGTTGATTGCATTATTCGATAATAATATGCAAATTATTACTGTTAATTAATTATATTCGTAGTAAAATTAATAGCTACATGAATGAATACAAATGATAATTTCTATACTCTATTGATGTTTCTCGCAGCAAACTTTTTGCGCAGAGTAAAATAAAATGAATTAAAATGTATTAAAAATGAAAAGACAAGATTATTGGAGGTTATCGAGCAATATTTTTACTCAGGATGATTTTTTGCATAAAAATACTGAGTTTTTTAAGAAGATAAGATTTTTTATGGAACAATATAAGAGTATTTAGAATTTACATAAGTGACGGCGATGGATGGGGCAGAGATTATGCAAATTATTACTATTGATTAATCATATTCATAAGTACAATAGTTAATAAATTAGAATGAAAAGACGACAAGATTATTATTGGTTAGTTATCGAGCAATGTTTTTACTCAGGATGATTTTGCGTATAAAAATGTACAAGTTTTACATGATAGATTTTTTTAAAGCGAGAATAAGATAAGGTTTTTAGACAAGGAGAATATTTAGAATTTACATATGTAGATAAGTGACGATAGGTAAGGTAGAGATGAGGGGTTATCCGGGTCGAGTGGTCAGTCGTCTTAACAGCGTCGTCCATTTCCACCTCCACAACCACCACCACCGTTGTTGGGGGACGGGCAGGAGAAGGAGATCGGCATACAGCAGGGGGGTGGTGGACAGCATGGGGACGGGCAGCAGCCTTGACCTCCTTGACCTTGATCGTCGTCCTCACACACGACGATGGGGACACAGCAAACTGTAGGGAAAATAAGAGAGAGAGAGGTCAACATGGGGAAAAAATATGAAGGGGATAAGTGGTTATCTATGTAGATTAGAACTTACCCTTTGGTGGTTTCTTCTGGTTTTGTGGGGGTGGGATTTCACAAACAATGTTGACCGGGGGCAGTTGGAAGATGCAGCATTGACCCTGCTGATTCTGGCTGCGCGTCTTGATGATGACGGGCTGTGAGGGAGAAAAAAGTTGGGAGGTCAAGTGAAAGGTCAAGTTGAAAAAGGGGCAAAAATGGGGGATTTTTTGAGGGGGGATGGTTTCAAAATGAGGGGAAAGTAGTTGCGAAGGGGGTCAGAAAGAGGGGAAGATCTTGTAAAAAGAGGAAAATGGGAACAAATTGGAAAAAATGCAAAAATGGGGGAAAAATATGGATTTTTTGGGGGGGAATATCTCAAAATCGGGGGAATCTGGTCGGGAAGTTAGCCAATGAGTGGGGGGAAGGTCTGGCGAGAAAGGGGAAAAATAGAGGAAAATGGGGGGAAAATTGGAAAAGTGGGAAAAAACGGAAGAATTTGGAAATATGGGGAAAAATTGGGAACAATGAGGGGGAAAACTTACCGGGCAACAGGCCGGTGGGCAGCAGGGTGGGGGACAGCAGGATCCCTGGTTTGGTCGTCCGCAAGACATGTTCGGAGTGAATTGGATTGAAAAAGTGGAAAATTGAGGAGGATGACGAAAAGAGTGACTTGACGGCTCGGAGATCTGAGAAGAATTGAAATCTCGCCGAGAAAAACGGTCCTTTTATACCGTCTGGGACAAAATCCGTTGATAGGGGAACATGCCAAAATTTGCGTAAAATGCAAAAATTAAAGTATTTGCAAAAAATAATGATGATCAAATAAAATGATTTCAAAATTTTCAACTTACTGTCATCTTTCTCAATACATATGTAGATCTAATAATTTTCATGTACAAAAATTCGCATAAAGTGCACAATTAAATTATTTGCAAAAAACGATGGTCCAATTTTACCGTGACATGATGACAAATCCAATTTTATGAAATTACGAAAATTTTACTAAATATGATGCCAATCGTTAAATTAAAATGAATACATGTTTAATTTTTCTGTAAAAATTGTATTTTTATTATTTCGTCCAGAATGTGTAGCACGTTTGCATTGTCATTCATCTTTTCGTAACTAAATAAATTATCAGATTTAACTAGAATTTAATACTCGTACGTAAATATTTAATTAAAATTAAGGTAAAGTTAAGACGCATGATTTCCGCTGGCATGTTGACCCTGCATGTTCCACAGTCGAAAGTATAAGCCCTGCTTGGCCAGCAGCTCTGAGTGCGTCCCACTTTCGTACAACTCGCCCTGATTGATGACCAGGATCCTGTCCACGTTTTGAATTGAGGATAACCTGTGGGCTATGGTTATACTGGTTCGTCCCTCGGACGCGGCGTCCAGGGCGGCTTGGACGACTTGCTCACTTTCCGTGTCCAGCGCAGAGGTCGCTTCGTCGAGAAGGATCAGTTTTGGTTTGCGGACGAGGGCGCGAGATATGGCGACTCCTATAAGATCAATTTACATAATTGATTAGGATTGTAAAATGGAGGTCTCCCATCGTATGTTGTTCAGATTTTGAGCAAATTAGTGTCATTGGATCGCAAATTTAATTAGGATGAAATTTGCGAAAGACACGATCTCCCAATGGATACGTTTGGCAGAGATATTTTGCATCCGAAGAGGAGAAAACGCGAACGAAGTCGACAAATTTTCCACTTTCCAAATTTACTGTGCGTTTTCCCCTCTTCGGATGCAAACATATCGCCCAAACGTGCCGATTGGAAGATCGTGTCTTTCGAAAATTGCATACAAATTAAATTTGCAATCTATTGACACTAATTTGCTAAAATTCAGAAACATTCGTTGTAAGTTTTGCTGATTAATTAAATTAATTACTCTGCTTCTGTCCACCAGAGAGCTGTGTCCCCATTTCCCCGACGCGGGTTTCGTACCCCTGCATAAATAAAGAGATAAGTCAAATTGTCTCGCATATTTGCATAAAATCTGCACTTGTTTTCCACTTACGGCAGGAAGAGATGCAATAAAGCTGTGAATATTTGCTTGTTTCGCGGCATCGATGATTTCCTCCATCGGGACGACTCTGGAGTTATCGCCGTACGCGATATTTTGAGCGATCGTTCTATCGAAAAGGGCCGGCTCTTGGGCGACGATGGCCATTTGCGACCTGAGCGCGTCCACGTTGAGGGAGGCGACGTCTTGCTCGTCAAACTTGACGGTGCCGGAGAGTGGGTCGTAGTAGCGGAGGATGAGTTGGATGCAGGTCGACTTTCCACAGCCGGAAGGACCCACGAGAGCGACGCTTTTACCGGGTTCTACCCCGTACGAGAGGCTGCGCAAGATGCGGGCAGTCGGCCTGGTCGGGTAGGCGAAGGCGACCCGGTCAAAGAGCACGGAGCCGGAACTGTTCCTCTGTAATTAAGTAGTGATATTTAGTAAAACAGTTGACGTAGGATTCGATGACTGGTCACCAAAATCGATGAAATTATCACATTTGTAATCATTTCTCGCATCTGGGAACTTATTTTAAAATTCTGGACGACAAATTTGTAGTTAGTGAGCTGATTAATGGAATGACGGAGTTTTTTGAGCCAGTTTCATTGAGTTCCAATGTTTTTGAAGGCTTCTTAACCTTGAGATCTCCTCCTTCAAAATGTGTCAAAATCTGGAGTATACATTTCTTAAAAATTGGCAACGATATGTTGTTCAAATTCGTCATCCAGAATTTTAAAATAAATTCCCAGAGCCAAGAAATGACTAAAAATATGCTGTACTGAAGTTTAAGGTTTTGGCGATGAGTCCTACGTTAAGAAATATTTAGTTAATCAAGTAATTAAAAATTACAATTTGAAGTCCAACTCCTGGCGAGCTGTCGATTGCTGGTTTCCTGTCCAAAAGTCGCAAAATTCTGGCCCCGGAAACCTTAGCTTTATTGTAATTCGGTGCAAACGCCATGGTTTGCCCGACCATCATTGTTCCAAAGATGAGAGCCTCTGCAACTCTGTGCATAGAAATAATTAATTAATTGCAACAATTAATGAATTAACACTGCGAATTTTTACAATTGCATAATCTCCTTACTTGAAGACTTTGTCGAAAGCCAAGTCTTCATTCTCCACTAAATATCCACCATAATACATGACCGTTGCATACGCAAAGAACGGGACGGACTGCGCAAAACCAAACACGGCTCCGCGAAGATGTGCCATCTTTACAATTTTTCTGTTTAAATAACGAAAATTCGTTTATAAAATTTTCAAAATTGTTTTTTTCAAAGAATTTCTAAACTTACGCATGAGACGACTTCAAAATGTCATTAAAAGTCTGCACGAAAGATTTCTGTTTTCCTAAACTGGCCACCGTTCTGATATTTCCGACGGCTTGGACGGCAATTTTGGACGCTTCGTCGATCGCCTTCTTTTCCCCGAGATCGTGCCCCATCATGAGCAGCATTTGGAAATATGTGGCCGCAATGACGAACGGGACGAAGACCATGGCCACCAGACCCAGCGTGGGTTTGTAGTACATCGCGAGACCGACGGCTGTTAAGGTAAATGTACATTTAAATATTATTTGCATAATTTAAATATAATTAGTAGGTTACACTGTTAGAAATCTGGTAGAGTCACATATATACAGGTATTTTTTTACCAGATTGATAGTAGTTGGTAAATTTTTCATGACCACAACATTACTAAGCGGTAATGCCCGTTATTACCAGTGCTGGTAGTGATATATTTATACTCCGGTCAGTAATGATTTAATACCAGTTTTCTAAGAGTGTTTTAAGCAAAGAAATATGTACCGATAGCGATGGTAGCGATAGATTGGACAATAATACCGACACGACTTCCGGTAGCCTGTAAATATAGGAATTAATTTATTACTTAATTTATTAATTATGCAAATTAGTTCGTAATTAATGACAACTTACCCCTTGAACATGCGCCGCATCTCCACTCAATCGTGCACACAATGCGCCCACGTTGTTGTTTGGATCGTCATACCATCTGCAAAAGAAATGCAAAGTTAAATGTGAAATCTACTCTATTCAAATTTTAGTAAATTAATTAATCATATATTTAATTAATTATTATTTAGTCGATTAACTCACCCCAACTCTTGCTTTAACATGGCGTGGAACGTATCCTTTCTTAACCGAGCCGTCAGCGCTTCTCCAGCCAGGGCGAACATGAACATTTGCAAAAACATGGCGCCACCTGCGCCAATTCCGAGAACGAGGAAAAGGATGGCGAGCAGGTTGGCGTTCCGTTCAGCATCGTCGTCCGGGTACGTAAGAATTTTCATGTATTCGCCAAAGAGGATAGCGTAACAGGGGAGGAGGGCGCCTTGCAGGATCGAGCTGACAATCCCCACCGCGATTTGCTTCCACTCGGGCGAGTTCATCTTGATCAAGCGCATCATGGGGGCTTCGTTGGCCAAGTCTTTCTCCTGAGTAGGACAGATTTTAGTTAAAAATTTAGAATTTAAAAATTTAATTTATAAAATTTAATTTGAATTAATTAATCAAGTTATTAATTAATAGAGGTTCTTTGGCCAAGTCTTTTTTCTAAGGAGGCAACATTTTCATTGATTAATTAAAATTGATTATTTAAGTAATTAAAGAAGTTAATAATTAACTCGGTGGCCAAATCTTTCGCCTGAGTGGGGCAGATTTTAATGGATTAATTAATTAACTACCTAATTAAATAAGTTAAAAATTAACGGGGCTTCATTGACCAAATTTTTCCCATAATAATGAAAAATGACAATTAACAAATTAATTAAATGAATGATTTAACTAAACTAGTTAATAATTAAGGGGGCTTCGGTGACCAAGTATTTCTCCTGGTCAGGTTAGACTTAACTAATTAATTGATTAATTAACTATGTAAATAATAATTAACTCACATCCATCAAGTGTTCCGAAACAATGCCGGAATGCGGAATAACTTCGTCATCATCGAGCGCCGTGAAACTCTTTCGTCTCGTTTCCTCCAACGTTTTTTCTAAAATTCTTTGCTTCTCGGCCATGTCTTCTTCGTCACTTTCTTCATCAATGTCCTCTCCGCGTCCCTGCATTTGCGCCAGGACGAGGCCATGATAAAGCCCTTTGGCGGCGAGGAGTTCTTTGTGCGTCCCTTTCTCCACCACGTCGCCATCGTTAATTGCAACGACGAGATCAGCTCCGCGGATGGTGGAGAGACGATGTGCCACGATGAGGGTGGTTCTGCCTTGTCGAGCGCGATCAAGGGCGGCTTGGACGACGGATTCGGATTGCGTGTCGAGCGCGGAGGTGGCTTCGTCAAGCAGTAAAATGGCCGGGTTCCGGACGAGGGCGCGAGCAATGGCGATTCCTGTGAGAGAAAAGTTAATTGGTTAGGATTACAATTAATTTTGGGAAATTTAATTTAAATAATTACTCTGCTTCTGTCCCCCGGAAAGTTGGGCGCCTCGATCTCCCACGACGGTTTCGTACCCCTACAGAAAAGTAAGTATTTAAGGTAGGACTCGATGACTGGCAGATTCGAAATCAGTATATTTTTAATCATTTATCGGCTCTGGGAATTTATTTTAAAACTTTAGACGACAAATTTGTAGAACAGAGAGTTCCCAATTTCTTTTAAGAAATATACACTCCAGATTTTGACACTTTTTGAAGGAGGAGATTTCAAGTTTAAGAAGCCTTCAGAAAAATTGGAACTCGTCGAAACTGGCTCAAAAAACTCAGTGCCATTCCATTAATCAACTCACTGACTACAAATTTGGCGTTCAGAATTTTAAAATAAATTCCCAGAGCCGAGAAATGATTAAAAACATGTTGATTTTGACAATTTTTGCAGTGAAATTGTTCGCTCAAATATTTTATCCCCTTACATTCGGTAATTTACAAATGAACCCGTGCGCATTTGACTGCCTACAAGCTTCCTCGACCTCCTTTAGCGTCACGTCTTCCCTCCCGTACTGAATATTCTCCAGGATCGTCGTATTAAAAAGGACAGGTTCTTGGGACACGACCCCAATCTGCGATCTGAGCCAACCCAAATGCAAATTCTTGATGTCCTCGCCATCAACGCACACCTGTCCTTGAATCGGATCATAGAATCGTTGCAGTAATTGAAGAACAGTACTCTTCCCGCAACCCGAGTGCCCCACAAGCGCCACGGTCTGACCGGATTCGACGTTAAGGTTGAAATTTTTCAGAATCTGGACATCCGGCCGGGACGGGTATTGAAAGTTTATATTTCTGAAGGAAAGTCGACCCCGGGATCGTTGCGCGGGTTTCTTGCCCTCCTCCGAGTACGAGTCGATTTCCGGAATTCGGTCGATTATAGAATAAATCACGGCGGCGGAACCTCTCCCGACGGCGAAGGCTTCAAAGTATGAGGCGCTCTGACCAATGTTGAAGGCGCCCATGAGTACGGAGAAGAAAACGATAAGCATCGTTTCCGCGGTGTATTCGGGGTCCTCGCCTCGACAGAGTTTGGGCCGTCCTTCTAAAATGAGCTTGGTTCCGTACCTGTTCAAAAATTTAGTTTTCATTCAAAAGTCAGTCATCCCGATTTCTGACTGAAGATTTTCATTCACACTCATATGTCATTTTCGTTCAAGTTCATTTCATTTCACTTCATCCGACTTCATTTCTTACTTCGCCCTATGTATTAAGTATAGGGTGAATGAAAAATGAAATGAGTGAGAAATCCTTCATTCATAGTCATTCATCTGAAATGACGGAATCGTTCAGTCATTTTCATTCAAATGACAGAAAATTCATTTTTATTCACTATCATAATCAATCAAATGAATGAAAGTGAACAGGTATGCTTGCTATGTTTCGTACCAGAAGGCGAGGGCGTACGACGCGTAGATGATGAACCACATAAGGCCAACGCCAAAGGCGGAGATGGCGCCGCGCTTTTTGGCCGCGGCTTTCGCCTGGATGAGACCGTCTTCGTAGCGTTCGATTTCTTTATCGGAGCCGGAAAAGGCCATGACGGTTTTGACATTGGTGAGCGCTTCTTCCGCAACGTTGCCGGCCTTGGCGTAGCTGGATTGTTCATCGGTGGCCAGTTTGGACTGGATTCCGGCCACGATTCCTGGAAAAAGAAGGAGGGAAAGGATTAGATTTTGAAGGAATTTGAATTTTTATCACTGCAAAACTTGACACCAGCCCAGAAATATGACGGCAATTTTTTCGAATTTCCAAAAACTACCCAAAAATCTTTGACAAAATTCTCATCTTTTTCTACGCATGTCTTGATTATCAAAATTCGTAATAATTACAAATAAAGTAAACATTTTCCTCGTTTTTCCACTAAAACTCTGTGTAATCTGACACTTATTAAATTTCGAGTGCATTTTGGACTGATGTTCAGTGGCCGCGGAACAGAGGGACGTCCCCACGGTAATTCGATGTCCGCATCATCTCCCCATCTTATATAAACCCATCCCTCCCCTCCATCCCACAATATTAATGTCCCCACAGCTTCTTCCGTGGTCACTGCTGAATTCTGCCACGTGAACTCGCCAGTCACATGGAGAATTTTTATTAATAATTGTAGCGAAAAGGTGCCCTAATTGATGATAAGGTTACTTAAGGTTACTTAAGCTGCTCTAAACGTTTCATCATCATCACAAATCACTCATTTTTGTGATGTGAATGATGTTGTAATTGTGCTCTAATCTTGTTGATCTCCGTCAAGTGGGCATATATTCGTTCATGTTATCTCAATTGTTGTCCGTCTTACGTCACGTGTTGTATTCATTTGTCAGGATTCTGCTGAAAATGAGTACGTTTTTAATGGCCCTCGAGTACCGAGAAATTAAATGGGAATCTTTTACTTAAAGTTGATCCAGTTCAAAGTTGATCCGGTTCAAAATTCTGTAACTCGCTTCTAAAAATATTTATGAATGTGTAAACATTCCCAGGTTTTTGTGTATGTATGTAAATTAGTCAGGTGGTCTGTTCTGTTAAGTAATAATATGTATGGGCTTATCAATCTGGATGCATGCTTATCAACCTTGCATCATCGGTTAGCTGCTTGCCTATTGCCTTTTATGGTGGTTGGTTTGGTGTCAGAGAGGATTTTGAAGTAGCTGGTCACCCACTTTTAGTGACAAATTACAGATTTTTGTATGTATTTACCTGTAGCAATGGCGAGCACTGGGGCGGACGAGAGGACGACTAAGGTGAGTTTCCACCCGTGCCAGAAAGCGTTAGCCAAGGAGAGGAAACATGTCGACATGAAGAAGACGCATAGACCAACTTTTTCACCAGTGGCTTCCTTCACTTTGACTAAATCTCTGAAATTTTTAAAATTATTTTTAATAAATAAAAATTGTCTCAAATCTTCTAAGAAAGAAGGTCTCCCAGCGTATGCTCTCCGATTTTGAGTAAATTAGTGTCAATCGATGACAATTAGGATGACAAATGCAAAGGATATGATCTCCCAATGGGCACGGTTGGCAGAGATAGTTGCATCCCAAGAGGAGGAAAAGCGCCTTAAAGTTAACAAATTTTACACTTTCCAAATTTACTGGATGTTTTCTCCTATTCGGATGCAAATCGGTCAAACGTATGTATGCCCATTGGGAGATCGTGTCTTTTACAAATTTTACACCAATTAAATGTGTGATCTAGTGACACTAATTTGCTCAAAATCGGAGAGCATACGCTGGGAGACCTAAATTTTATGTAATTTTTGACTCACTCTGAAATTCTGGAGACGAAATTCTTGTCCTGAACGGTATCATACCAGCCGACGTTTTGCCGCAGGAGGGCTTGCAAGTATTGCCTCCGTACTTCGAAAGCCTTCAATCAAGATATTTATAAATATATTAGTTAAATATCAATTAAACAATTGTGCTTATTAATTAATTAATTAATCGAACTCACAATATTTTCTGACACAATGTTAAACAGCGTGATGAAGATGTAACTGCAAAAAAATGTGCCTGCCCCCAAGCTGCTCAGACTTATCGAAAATGTTTCCACTTCGCCGAGAAAGTTTTCTTTTAATTTTCTCCTGGAAAAAAAATCGAAATTTTATTATTTTAGAAACATTTAGAAACATTGTGTGGCGTCATTATTTACTTAAGAACGATTCATTTCCTTAATAATTAGTCGGTGATGATGAATAATCTTTACGTTTTAGAATGACGTGTGCATTTTCTCGATAAGTAATTAGTCACTGAATCAACTTGCAAATTACTTGACTTTTCCCCAAGACAGAATTTTACTTAGCAAACAAGGATGCAAGCAAATTGACATAACATTTGCATTATTGCGAATGCCAATATTAGTTCGTACATAAAAATAGCAAAAAGATAAAAGAGTCGACGAAATGGGCGACGTCTCCCCTCCCCTCCCGTTTTTTTTCTCGGTTGATTTATATGGACATGCATTAGTCAGTTGAAGGTCTTCACATTCAAAGTCAAGGTGAAGTGGTACTCAAGGTGCGAATCAATTAAGAGGGAAAGCAAACAAATGATGAAATCGCTAATTCATCGGGGTTCATCTGGCTAAATATTTCAACCACCACGGTTTTGAATTTTGGGCGATATTTCGAAATTTTAGCTACAAAAATTAAAAATTAAATTGATATTCGTCGTTGATAATCTGGCTGAATTTTAGTATTTTCTGATATTTCGAAATTTTGGCTACAAAAATTAAAAATTAAACTGCTCTTCATCGTTGATAATCTGGCTGAATTTTAGTATTTTCCAATATTTTGAAATTTTAGCTACAAAAATTAAAAATTAAACTGCTATTCGTCGTTCTTGATCTGGCTAAATTTTAGTATTTTACGATATTTCATAATTTTGTACCTACAAAAATTAACGCATTTCAATTAATATTTTCAGGTTTGACGTATGTAAAAGTTAAAAAAAAACGGTTCCAGAAACGATGGACTTTTTGAATTATGGTCAGATAAACCGTGACCATGAATGAATGAGTACAATAGTGAAAATGGTAGCCGTTGATTGCTTCATCGAATCAACACCCACGACCAAATTACGAATATAAATTACGAATAAATGTCATGTCATGTCCAACACTAGGATGGTAACATTGGCAGATTTGTGAATTGTTTGATCAATAAAAAAACGGGAAAAAACGATCCCAGACTTTGTTCTTCACTTTATGAGATTAAAAAGCAATGCAAATATTATTGGATGGAATCATATTTCTCGTAATATGAGAAAATCTTGGGCGAAAAGAGTCGCAATTATTGCACAAATAACAAATTCGCAGTATAAATATTACGCCATGTTTGTCCAGTCCAGGAGGACAAGTTAAATTCTTGGGAGAAACAAAATTCGCAAATATTGCGAATAATTAACCTTTTAAGCAACATAAATATTACAGTCTCGATTGCGCCATGTTGTCGAGGACAAGTTTCAACCTGATCGTGACGTTCACTTATCAAGTAAATGTCATAGTATAAGCACTTGAACTAAATAATCCTCCACAATATTCACGCCACGCCATATTATTTTCCATTCCACACCAGGATCAAACTTGTACACAATTCGTTAACAGAAATGGCAAACATGCAGGGAAATCCTTTGAAAAAATCGATATACATAATATTTGCAAGCATTAATAGAATTTTTTGCACATGCAAAGTTTAACTTTGCCTAAGGAAAGGAGAGATTCCTATATGCTCAACTGACTCACTCGTTCCCTCGCTCACCGTAACATATATTTTGCATTCACTCTCTTTTTTTTGCGAAAGAAATTTTGCACAAAGGAAAGTTTACTTAAGAAATGAGGCCCAACGTTATTTTCGACGTGACTCTGCACCTCGTGTGGCACGGTGCGGTGCGGAACAATAGCAAAAATCGACAAAGAAATTGAGCCCTAGACAATGCAATCAGAAATATATTTAAGGTATTATTCCCAACGATTTTTGCACATTTTTGCAACTGTTTTGTGGAAAAACGTTGAAAACAAACTGGACTTGATCTAATCCGAAATATAGTTTGAGCCTTGAGGAGTTTTAGGATAATTCGCGATTATTTTTGCAATTTCTTTTGTAAAAAATAAAACTGGAGTTAATCCAATCAAAGATATGTCTTTAGAAGTTATATGATATGATGATTCACCACTATTTTTGCTCATTTTTTGCAATTTTTTGTGTGCAAAATTTAACCAAAATAAAACCCGGACTTACATCATGTCCTCAAAGCTTATCGTAGTCCCTTCCTCCTCGGGCGGTCTATCGGGACAGATTTCTGTCAAATTCATCCCATCGTTGACCATGACGTCGGTCACCCTTCCGAAAAAGATAACCATCAAGGGCATACTCGCCCCACAAACGGCGGCCGCTAGGAAGGCGACAATCGCTAAAAACTTGTCCCTCGTCGTGGCGAAGCGGAACAAATGCAGATAAGGGACGGGAGGAATGGCGGGTTCTTCCTTTTTGTCTTTGTCCTTGTCCTTCTTGTTCTTTCCGTTCTTTTCGCCACCACCTTTATCGATATTATCGCCCCCTTCAGAGTTATATGTCCCGTTTGCTTCGGCCATCCTAGAAAAAAAGTGAGGGAGAAAAATGAGTTAAAATTACGATTTTTAACGGAATCAACGGAAACAGGGGGACATTGTCCCCCCAGAAATTCAGCAAAGTCGTGTCTTATCCATGTTGATAAGTCCTCTTCCCACAATTCTAATGGTCCCACATGCCCCCCCCCAAAGTTCCCAAAATGCGACTAAAAATGACTTACTTGCTATCCTCGACTTTTCCCATTTTGGCGATATCTGCTTTACTACTTTTCCCCCCCATTTTTCACAATTTTTAATGTTCTTGTCCTTGTTCTTATATTGTTCTTTTCACCGGGTATTCTGTTGATCAGAGACCGAGAGAGAGCGAAATGCACGTCCAACTCGGTGGACAACTCGAGCACGACTGAGCCAATTTGAGACGTGAATTGCACTTTTGCTTCTCCAGTTCCAGTCTGACTCGCTCCTTTCTCCAGTAAAATTGCACTTTTACGTCATTTTATATCGTACTTTGTAGTATATAGTGTAACTCGTGATGATGATAAGGTATAACGTTTCTGATAAGCAAAGTTCTGCCAACTAACCCGATATTTTTGGAAATATATAGTGGCTGTGGCACCTTCGTGACCTTGACGAGGACGCTGGATAAGAGAATAGATGGATGATGATAAGGTAACGTAACGTTGATGAGATTGAGGGGAAGAAGGGTTATCTGCCAAGTGACCCAGTATTTTTGGACCTTACATTAGCACCTTCGTGACCTTGACGCTGTCGATAAGATAACTAACTAACGACGATGGTGTTTAATTAATTGTGTTAAATTTAATTCTTGAGGTAACTGAGATAAATGCTGACTTATCCTTAGAGAAGTGGGAATTTGTATTAATTAACCTTATATTTCTGAAATTTGTTTGTGACCAAAATTATTTGAAACTTTGTCAGTCTAGTCTAGTCTACGCGTCTCCCTTAAGGGAGACGCGTTACCTGGATACTTATTAAGGTCAAGCAATCGTGCTTCGTGACCTTGACGCTCGATAAGAAAGAAGAGATAACTAATAGCTTGCGATGTACAATGCGTTTATATGAAATTTAATAATTTGAGGAATTATTTATAAAGGTTTATAAAGGTTTCTTTCTTTGATAACAATGGAATTTATGTGCATATTGAATTGAAAGGAAATCAAAGAAATGGATGGAAGAAGGATTTCGTCACGAAATGTTGTGGTTTTGTGCGTTTCATTTCAGTTCCATTCTTTTTGAATGGAAATCAATCAATGAATTTTACTGATTAATTATTGAATTTTATGAGTGACTTTATTCATTTTTGCGTGGATGAAAATCATGGTTGCCATTTATCATTTACTTACATGTGGTATGATTAGTGTCTGTATTTTGCATGTATTTTGCATGTATTTTGCATGAAAATGCAAATTTTTTTTGCAACTGCATACACAATTTGCACTAGCTTTATTAATTTTTGCGTGCAAATCATTGTTGCCATTTATCATATACACGTGGTATGATTAGTGTCTGTATTTTGCATGTATTTTGCAAATATTTTGCATGAAATGCGAAATATTTCCCACCGCATAATTTGCACTAGATGAATGAATGAGAGATCGATAAGCCCCCCGCTCGTCTACCAAATGACATGCAGTGCACGGGACAGAAAAATATGGCAATATTCCAGGACAAACGGGACCGAACATACATGCGAAAAAGAACGTTGCAAATATTGTGGCAGATTTCGCCAGCTAAACCACGCTTGCGACTCATGCTTTAATAATTCCGTGCAAAAAAAGATCTGGACTATACAGTGCAATGGTTGATAGGGTAGGCTTATCTTTACCTTATCATATTTCATCACATGGCTTGCCTATTATGTTATAAATGCTATGAAATTCCCGATTCATGCATTTCGGGTTCATTTAAATTTTCGCATGTGGTGAACATTAAATTCCCAATGATGATGATATTTAATATCTTCTCGTTTTAATCGCGTTATTGTACTCACGTTACGTTTCGCACATGTTACGAAATTGTTATCACACTCGTCGGTCGTCGGTGCGGTGATAGTGCGAATAATAAAAATATGTGCGATTCATTATTAGCATTAAGTCGTCTGCCAAATAACCCTTTTTTATGCAAACATCACCCACTACACGACGCCAAAGATGCCAATAATCAATTATCAATTTGCGGATCAATGAATATAGGTAAATATACTTATTAATAGAGATATTTTTGCGTAAACTCATATGTAGGAGAAGAAAATTGGCATAAAAAATTGGCACGTTTTGTTCGCACTCGTTGCTTTATGCAAACATCACCCACCACGATGCCAATAAATAATTAATTGTCAATTTGCGAATCAATGAATATAGGTAAATATACTTATTAACAGGGATATTTCTGCATAGGCGAAAATAAACTCATAAGTGAGAGAATAAAATTCGCATAAAAAATTCGCACGTTTTGTTCGCACACGATGCTGCGTTGTATGGTGCCGTGCCATACATACATTTTGCATGTTTAGTCTGGTCTTGCCAATTCGCAACTTGAGCGAGACAAGTTCGTACAGGAATCGTTTTGTCGGAAATTTTTTGCGAAGATGAGAGAATGATCTCTTGAATCCCACTCCACTCCACATTTTTTGCACGAAATATCAACAATGAGCTGGCTTTTACTCTTAATAAGATTCCATTATTTAACGCGTGGCGTGGGTTCATGAGAAGTTGTGCAATTTAAGCGCCACATGGATTTTTATGCAGCGATTGAAATATGAAAAAATATTAGATTTTAAACAAATCTGTTACGATGTTGCTACACTGGATTGAATTTTGCTTATTAATTAATTTGCATAATTATGAAACATTTCAATCTATTGATTTTACTAAAATAGGCGGATATGCAAATAAGTTACAAGTTTTTTTTTTTACAAAATACTGTTATTGAGTAAAACAAAAATGAATAATTTCATGCAAATTGTATTTTTATTTAAAAAAATGTTTTATTTATTGGGGAGAGATTCATCTCCAATCTGAATTACTACTTTTGTATAAACTGCTGAGATAGATTGAATTATGGGAATTAATTAATTTGCATATTTTTAAAACTATTGATTTTAAATACTAAATCCGGTGAGTTCATCAGAAATAGTGTAGTTTAAGCGTCTATTCAGTTTTGTATGCAGCGATTGGAATCTGTTAAGCTGAAAGATTATAAAAAAGAATTTGAGCACTGTGAGCTATGTTAGAATGGATCGAATTGATACGCAAATTAATTAATTTAGGTATAAAACATGTCAACTAAATCGACCGGATATGCAAATAAATAAATTACCAGCGTTTTCTATTTGTAAAACCGAATTATGTATGTAAATTAATTAAATGATATATTTATAAAACTTTTCAAACTATTGATTTTACCGGATATGCAAATAAATAAATTAATTACCAATATTATTTTAATTCCCAGTTTATTTTATCAATCTGTTAAAAGTAAAACCGAAATAAATATGTAGTTAATTTCATGAAAATTGTATCAAAGAATTTATAAAAAAGTGTTGTATTTTTTTATTACGGAGAGATTCTTCTAAACTACTTTTGTCTAAATTTTTTAAATAGTGGATGTTTATTAGCGGAATTTGCATTTTTTCGGTATTCCCGATAAACCGCGTCATCCGCACCGGAAAGAGAACCAAGGTTGGCACTGCGACGACCAAAAGCACCCCAAGGACCGGCTCCCCGACCTTCGCCGGGAATTCGCTCCTCGTCCTCGGCATCGTCCCGAGCGGCCAAAATTTGTTGGATGAGTTGGACTTGTTCTTCTTTGGACTTATAGTGCAAGTCCTCCTGCAGAGTGAAAAAATTATGGATTCAAAATTTTGCGTTATTTTTTGGGAAATTAATAATTATGAATATTTTACCTGCTCCAATCCGGCCAATTTGGTAATCACTTTGTAGGAATAGCCCTGATTGACTAAGAATCGTTGCCGTTTTCGAGAATAATTCATCTCGATAGTGTCTTCAGATACGAGAGTGTAGAAAAATGCGTTGTATTCCTCAGCAATTGCGCCTAAGGAACAATTAGCAATTAAGTAATGACTCGAACACTTAACGCAAAAACCGTCAAGATCAGCGCACTTTTAATCATCTCTTCGCTCTGGGAATTTATTTTAAAACTTCTAGAGCAGGTCGTTGCCAATTTTGTAGAAATATGCGCTCCAGATTTTTACACTTTTTGAAGGAGGAGATCTCAAGTTTAGGAAATCTTCAGAAAAATTTGACTCATCGAAACTGACTAAAAAAACTATTATCTGTAATCAACTCACTGACTACAAATTCGTTGTCCAGAATTTTAAAATAAGTTCCCAGAGGCGAGAATTGATTAAAAATGTGCTGATATTGACGCTTTTAGTGACATCAATTCGATAGTGATTGATTAACTATAATTTGCGCACAAGTACCTTTCTTCGCTCGCAAAATACGTCCCAACCGTTGCGCTTCTTGACGTCGCGACCCGCCTTGGGAACTGATTTGAATGAGGACATTGGCTTCTGGCAGATCAAACGAAGTATCAGCCACTTTCGATACGAAAACCGTGTTAATTTTTGGGTTGAATTTGAAATTTTGTAAAATCTGGAGCCTCTCCTGTTGCGAGGTTGGTCCGTAGATGAAGGGCTTGCCGAGCTTCATGGCGTAATGCTTTAAGGCGTAAACGTTATCGGAGAAGACGATTATTTTGTCGTTGCGTCGTTCATGATAGCGAATGAGGAATTGACAGGTGCGGAATTTTGCGGGATTCATGACGCACAGGAGCTAAAGTAAAATATTTTTGTCACGTGGTTTTCAAAAAAACAAATACAAATTAACTCACAATTTTCTTTGAAATTCCAGAATTCAAGTATTCCCTGTAAAATTCTGGCGTCATTGGATTCCACACTTCGGCACATTGAACTTTAGCGATGTAACCATTCTTTTGAAGTTCCAACCAATTAGCTTCGTACAACTGAAAAGAGAAATTCAATTAATTAATATCAATCAGGACTCGATGTCTCATCACTAAAATTGTCAAAATCAACATATTTCTAATCATTTCTCTGATCTGGGAATTCACTAATTCGTAGTCAATAAGTCAAGTAATAGAATGTGGCAGGATTTTAAGCCAGTTTCTACGCGTTCCAATTTTTCTGAAGGCTTCTTAAACTTGAAATCTCCTCCTTCAAAAATGTCAAAATGTGGAGTGTATACTTTTTTTTTAATTGGGAACGATCTGATCTACAAGTTTATCGTCCAGAATTTAAAAAAAATCTCCCAGAGCGAAGAATGGGTAAAAAAATGTGCTGATTTTGACGATTAGTCATCGAATAATTAATTATTAACCTTTGGACCGATTAAAAAGTTCAAATCTGCAATCTTATCATCCTCCCGGACTAGAGTGGCTGTAAGTCCGAGTTTACAATGTGCCTGCACCATGGTCAACACTCTCCTGAACATTTTTGCCGGAATACTGTGCACCTCTGAAGAAATTAATCAATACTCAATTAAAATTTAGCAAATTACCATCTTTAAATTTACTAATTAATTGTCCACCCACCATCCAACAACATTATGCCCCACTCCTGCTCCTGCAACCACTTCATCGTCTGCTCCGCCTCCCAGGATCTCTTCTGCGTGTGCGTAATCATGGAATACGTCGTCACCAGGATGCTGCACCCCATTGGCTTGTCCTTCGCGTCGGACGTGAAACGACAAATTATGGCGTCGTCAGCTAAAAATTTAAAAATAATAGAATTATTATCCCCATAAATTCAGATAGTCGGTACCCTCATCGTCAAAGAAAGTAGTACACTCTTAGAAATCCATGATTAAAATAATAACACCGAGCGGTATTATATTTCATATATGACCGAGAAGTAAATACCTGCCTGACTATCCCAGATCTCTAACTGTGCGAAATTCAATAATAAAATTATTTAAAATAATACCGAGCGGTATTGATATATGACTCAACCAAAGTGGTGTTGATAAGTAATGGCTCGGTATTAAAGTTTTACCATATGGGCAGCAATTTTTTGCGGACCAGTATAATTTTAGTACCAAGCGGTAGCAACTTTAATACCAATAAATCACTACCTGCCTGCTGCATGACTATACCAGATTTCTAACAATTTAGTAAGTCACCTGTGCTCCATAATTTAAACTGTTGTTTCCATTGTTCCACTGAAACGCCAGAATTGCAGAGGACGATGGCCCGCTTCCTCACGGTACAGACGGCGGTCACACCGGTCAAACTTTTTCCAGCTCCTGTAAATTAATTACAAATTAATAAAGAATTCACAAAGGACTGGATGCCTCGTCACCAAAATCATCAAAATCAACACATTTTTAGTCGTTTTTAGGTTCTAGGAATTTATTTAAATTTCTGGACGTCAAATTTGTAATCAGTGAGTTGATTAATGGAATGGCTGTGAGTTTTTTGACCCAGTTTCGATAAATTCTAATTTTTCGGAGGGCTTCCTAAACTCCTCCTTCAAAAAGTGTAAAAATCTGGACTGTATATTTTTTTAAAATTGACAAGAACCTGTCTACAAAATTTTCGTCCAGAATTTTTGAAATACATTTTCCCAGCCGATAAATCATTAAAAATGTGTTGATTTTAACAATTTTGGCGAAGAGCCATCGTTAATTTTGTTTACTGTACGAACCGCAAGGCAAAACTATCACACCGGATCGGGCTCTCCCATTTCCAAACATTTTTCTCAAACTCTTCTCCTGATATGGACGCAGGATTGCGGAAGGCTTGAGATCAATGCTATACACACAAAGCAATTAATTAATCATTAATTACTCTCTTTGTCTCATTATTAAAAAATAAATACTAATTACAATTACGACGACTCACTGAATATCTGGATTTCGTGTATCATTTCGAAAATCGTACTCAGCCAGGAGCGGATATTCCTGTTGGATGCAGCGCTTCTGCAAAATTTCAATCTTGTCTTGAATCACTTCGAAGGAGACGACCTTTTCTTCCTCTTCGTCGTCATTGTCGGCGTCAATTTTAGAATAGTAATCCGTAATGTCGGACGGTAAAGTGGGTCCGGATTCGCCATTTGTGGAAGGCCCCCCATTTTCAGTGGTGTGACCACTATTTCCGTTTATTGCGTTGCTATTCCCAGCCGTGGCGGTGGAGGAGGTCGGATTGTTCGTCGTGCTAAAGGCGGAATTCAGTACGGCCGCGCCACTCGTTTTTGTTATGCTGGATTCGACAAAGGCCTCGTCGTCGGAATGGCGCAAGCGACATTCTTGAATGACGGGATCTTTTAAAAGTTTTTGGAGTACTTCGGGATGACTGGATTCGACAAAGTAGCGATTCTGTTTCAAGACCAGCTTGACCTGGGGAGGGAATCGTTAAATCAAAATTAGTGTTAAGGTAGGATTCATCGTCAAAAAACAGCATATTTTTAATCATTTCTCAGATCTGTGAATTTATTTTAAAATTCTGGACGACAAATTTATAGAGCAGTTGCCAATTTTTAAAAGTGTACACTCCTGCTTTTGACACTTTTTGAAGGAGGAGATCTCAAGTTTAAGAAGCCTTCAGAAAAATTGGAAGTCGTCGCAACTGGCTCAAAAAACTCAACGCCATTCCAACGATCAACTCACTGACTGCAAATTTGTCGTCCAGAATTTTAAAAGAAGTTCCCAGAGCGGAGAAAAGAGTAAAAATGTGCTAATTTTGACGATTTTAGTGACAAGTCATGAAACCCTAAGATAATTATAATGTTAATTAAATTTGTATAACGCACTTTTCCATAGGACAGCGTACACAGGCGGATGAACTCCATAATTCCGTCGGGAATCGTGGTCTTGCTCAATCTCGTCAAGTACTCGATAATGTCTTCAGTCTGTAGGCCCACACTGACCGCGGCGTAAAGAGAGTAGGCAGTTAGTTTGTACTGCGAAAATTATAAATAAATAAATGGTCAGTTAATTAATTAATTGTATTGTAAACTTGGCGATAAGTTGAAATTACGCACCTCGTGGATATGTTCGGGACGATTTAACGGTTCCGCGATCGCGATTAAAAAATCGTGCGCATGTTTATACACGGGAGAAAACGCTTCCAGGAAAATGTGGCCGTTTGGAGCCTGGAAGTTCATGAAATGGAATTTGAAATTTAAGTAGTTTAATTTAATTAATCAATTAACTAATTTGCTAATTAACTCACCATCCAAATTGGTCGGGATTCATGATCACTTCTCAACTCCATTTGAGGACGATAATCTTTCGCTCCGAATTCATCATCCGGCACGACAGACGCTCCTTCTTCGGCCGCTTCGGCGTCTCGTTTCGCCGCGACAGGGACTCCTTCTGCAAATTAATTAATAATTACTTCATTTAATTTGATTAAATTGAAAAACATCCAAATTTTTAGAAAGTTCGTATTTTTTTTTTTTGTACATATTTCTGAACTATTTTGTCGTGTTTTCGTACATATTTCAGCGACTTTTCGTAAATACATATCCGCCCTCTTACTATTTAATTAATAATCTCAATTAATAATTATTTAACTATTTTGAGCTATATGTTCGTATTTTTGTTCTTCTTTTACAGATTTCTAAATTATTATGACGTTTCTTCGTAATATTAACTACATATTTCAGCGATTTCTCGTAAAATACATATCCGCCCTCTGACTATTTAATTAATGATCTTAATTAATAATTATTTACAACTATTTTTAACTATTACCTTGAACCGAATCGTCATCTTGGTCGAATTCTTCCTCATAATGAAACTCTTCTTCCTCTTCTCTGCCTCGTTTCTTTGACTTCCTTCCATTCCAACCTTTCCCCTCTCTCCCCATTTCAGTAAAGTTTCTGAATTTATAAAATTTTCAAATTTTTATTGCACTTTGAAATTAAAAGAAGCTTTTTTAAAATAAAAACAAAACTTTGCTTCCGTCAACGACTCGAGACGATTTCCGAATGAAGGAGTAATTTGAGTTTCCCGCGGCTTGGGGTATTTCTGCGACCGTAAATCTGGAAATAAAATTCCTTGAAATTTTACCGTTTTTTGTGAAAAATAGTGCAAAAAATGTGCAAATTTTGAGTAATTATGATATCTAAAATCATTTTGGGTCAATTAGTACAAAAATTTGGATATGAGTTGCAGCAACGGGTGAGAAACCGTGTTTTATATCGTGGGAAAAAACGTAGGTCTTGGAAATAACTCCCTCCCCCTGAAATTCACTGTTTTTTCACGATTTTATCGGAATTAGTGGTAAGTTTTGGGAAAACCCGATAAAATCTGAAAGATGTGATACTTTTACGTAATAAAATGCAAAAATTGAGAATATGAGAGCTAAATTGGGTTAGAAATGGAGAAAAAAGTGGATTTTTATGTGGGAAAAGTGAGATTTCTCATGTAATAGCATGAAGAAGTAAAGCGTAAGAAGTGAAGCGTTTAGAAAAGCGAGAAAATTGCCAAATCTGAAAGATATGACACTTTTACGTAATAAAATTCAAATTTTTCAAAAATTTAGGCGAAATTTGATAAGAAGAATTGGAGAAGGATGTGGATTTTTAAGTGGGAACGTGAGAACGTGAAAACGTGAGATTTCTCATTTAATAGCATGAGAATACATCAATTGAAGCATTTAGAAAAGCGAGAAAAGTGTTAAATGTGAAAGACACGATACTTTTACGTAATACTGATAAAATTCAAAATTTTCAAATATTTAGCCGAAATTGGGCAAGGAATTGAATTGAAAGTGGATTTTTATGTGGGAAAAGTGAGATTTCTCATTTCATAGCATGAGAATTCGTTCAATAGTGAAGTGAAGGATGTAAAAAGATGAGATAAGTGGATTCAATTTTAAATCTGGTCAAAATTAATCTGTCTTTCAACTGACCTGAATTTTCCTCGTAAAATGATATAATAGAATTTGTAGTGATAATAAGAATTATACAAGTGCTTGAATTACAAATTCCATCATTTCAAAGTTTCCTAAATTTTGTCATATTTTTTAAAAATTTTATTGTATTTTTTAAAATTTTATGTAACATCATCTAATTGCATTTTCATCTCCTACAAACGAATCGGTAAATCTATCGTGTTTTAAACCTTCAAAATTTATTTAGAAAACAATCTGTGTGCCTTAACTTACCCAATTTTCCAAGCTTTTCAAAATTTCGTTATATTTTTTTAAAATTAGCTGTAAATATCATCATCACATTTTTCATAGAGGTGAATGAATTTATGAATTTAAAAAATCTTATTATTTTCAAAGTTTCTTAAATTTTAATTATTATGCAACAATTCAATCGCATACACCTTGAATCTTTCAAAATCTGTTGTTTTAAAGGGTCCAAATCTCTGCAAAAATTAATCTGCGGTGTTTAATTTGCACAATTTTCTAATGAAAATTTCGTGATATTTTTTTTAAATTTCGTGTAAATTGCATCATCACATTTTTCATAAAGGTGTAAAATTACGGAATTTCCAAAATTTCCTTTATATCAGAGCTCTTTTTGTCATTTTCAGAAAACGGGGTAAAAAAATCCGAATTTGCTAAGTTGAAAATTTTAAAAATAATAAATCTGTGTCGTTCAACATTGTACAATTTTTCAAGTTTTTTTCTAAATTTCCTTAATATATTTAAATTTTTCTGTAAATAGCATTATTACTTTTTTCGCAAATATGCAAAATTTTAAATCTGATTAAGTTGTAAAAAACAATCTTCGCTGTTCAGCTTCCTTGCACAATTTTTTCCACGTGAAATTAATGAATTTGTTGAATAAAAAATTATTAAAAAACGTACGTATTCAAAAATTCAATTTTTTTCAAAGTTTCCTAGATATATTTATTGTTTTATGTACCAATCACTCACACCATTTGAATTGCATATAAGGACTTTTCGGTGTCGAAATCTATTACCTTTTAAAATATCAAATTTCTGTAAAAACAATCAAGTTCAACTTGTAAAGTTTTCCAAGATTGTCAAAATTTCGTGATATTTTTTAAAATTTAATGTAAACAGCGTCATCACATTTTTCATAAAGATGCAAAAATTGTTATTTTATCAGTTCTTTTTCATTTTCAGAAAATAAGATCAAACGACTTGAATCTTTCAGGTTAAAAATCTTAAAATGAGATTCATCTGTGTTGCTCAACTTACACAATTTTCCATGATTATCAAAATTTCTTTGATATTTTTCCTGTAAATATTAGCAATATTTTTATTGTTTTATGCAACAATCTCACCATTTGAATCGCATCACCTTTTCGGTTTCAAAATCAGTTACTTTTCAAGGGTATCAAATTTCTGTAAAAAAATAATCTGTACCGTTCAACTTTTCGAAGATTATCAAAATTTCATGATATTTTTTTCAATAATGTCATCACATTCTTCAGAAAGATGCAAAATTTGTTATTTTATAAAATTTCCTTAATATCAGATTTCATTTTCATGTTGAGTCCCACTTTCTGGAAAATGATCTGAAACTTTTAAGTTAAAAATCCTCCAAAAGAATAATTCTTCGGTGTCGCTCAACTTACACATTTTTCCAAGATTATCAAAATTTCTTTAATATATATTTTTTAATTTCCTGTAAATAGCATTACTACATTTTTCATAAGAGTGAAAAATTCGAAATTTGTCCTTTATCTCACAATTCTTTCTAAATTAGGAAATTAGAGGAAATAATCGAGATCTGCCAACTTTAAAATCCTACAAATTTCTAAAAAACATAAATGTAAACATTGTAAAAATCATTGTAAAAAATTTATAAATTTTTTTCTTATTACAAAATTTCCCAAAATTTTATTTTTTCCTTATTTACAAAACGCGTGAAATATCTGGCAGGTGAAGAAAGTGGATGGTTTGGTGAAAGCTTTTGTTTATGTTTCTTATTTTTTCAAAATTTCCTTAATATTACAATTCTACTTCATTTTCAATAACATTTTTTAGAACTTCAGTGGAAAAACACAGACCTGTTTTTATTTTAAAATCATCAAATTAAAAATAAATAAGTCTGTGTCGCTCAAGTTTCAAAAAATTTTCCAAAATTACATTTTTCCTCTTTGCGCATCCAAGTAAAAAGTGTGGAGAAAGTGGATGAAGGGTGAAAGTTTTTTATTTCTCTCTTTCTTTTTATCCAAAATCATGCAAATTTTAAAGTCCTACAGTAAAAAAAATTTTAAAGTCCTACAGTAAAAAAAATAAATCCCAACTTATAAAATTTCCCAAAATTTTATTTTTCCTCTCTGCACAACATAGTGAAAATAAAAATGCGTTGCAGATGGAGGGAAAAAGTGAATGATGGGTGAAAGTTTTTGTCTGCATTTCTTATTTTTTCACAATTTTATTAATATCACAATTTTACCTAAATTTTAATCAGACTTTCAGAAAATAAGAAAAAAATTCGAATGTCAACTTTCAAATTCTACAAAATTTCCCAAAATTTTACTTTTCCTCTGTGCAGAACAGAATGAAAATAAATATGTGCGGCAGGTGGAGAAAGTTTTTGTCTGTGTTTCTCTCGTTTTTTTGTGTGCCCAAAATCATGAACTTCGTCTCTTTACCACTTTTATTTACAACAAAGGACGGATTTGGACCTCGTAATGAGTGTTTTCTGGTGGGGTCCTTGTTTACCACTGCTGTTGTGCTCTCATCAAATGCAAATAACAAAATTGTCTCCTCGCTCAGAAACTTTTTAACAAATCTACCGCCTCGTTAACTCTGCAAGCAAAGAGAAAGTGGCAGGAGGACAAAGGATTTCAGGAATTAACCTGCTCAACCGGAAGTAGATATAGGACACGACGATTTTTAAAATCAGGTCTTCTTAACGATGAAATTGGGTTTAGATTTTGGGAAATGTTTAAATTTACGGGAATTAATTAGCGGCACAATTATCCATTTAATTATGAATAATTTAGTACTAATATCAGAGGTTATCTACATATCTTCTAAACAATGAGATTGAATTTCATCAATTAAAAATTACAGCGTTGAATTTATTTACAATTGATTTTACTAATTATTTTTGTCTCATCAAAATGTACTAAATTATCAATCGGAGGTACAGGACACGATTTTTGAAATCAGGTCTTCTTAAAGAAGAGAGTGGGTTCAGATTTTGGAAAATGTTTACATTTTTAGGAATTAATTAATTATTTATTATATGTAATTATTGTGTAATTGTGTATATTTAATAATCCTAAGCTCACTTATCTATGTTACAAGTAATTGAATTGAATTTCGTCGATTAAAAATTACGGCGTTGAAATCTTAACTAATTTTAAAAATTATTTTTTGTCAGACCAAAATGTATTTTCAACCGGAAGTACAGTCCATATTTAAAAAATCAGATTTTCTTAAAGAAGAGAATGGGTTGAGATTTTGAGAAAAAGTTTAAATTTATCGGAATTAATTAATTGCACAATTATGTATTTAATTATTATGAAACTTGGTTCTAACTCCCGAACCTATGTATCTATTTTACAAGTAATGAGATTAAATTTCATTAATTAAAAATTACGGCGGCGAATTGTACAATTATTTTTTGTGCTTAAAAATGTGCAAAAAGTGATTAAAACGAATTATTAAATTAATTGTAGAAAATGATTTTTTGGCATTAAAAATAAATAAAAATCAATTTAACCCAATAAAATTTTCGTACAAGAACTAGTGTACTAAAAAAAGCAAATAATTAAGAAAATTATAAAGGATACTAAATTTACCAAAATTACAAAAATTAAAAAACGTACGCAAGTCAATAAAATTCCGCAAATAACAAACATTAGCGTGCTAAAAACGCAAAACATTAAGAAAACTAACGATAAGACACATTACCAAAACTTACGAAATTTACAAAACTTATAAAAATTACGAAACTTATAATACTTTTAGAAATATAATCTTAATTGTTTACAAGTTCTGAGCTTTTGTGCATAATTCAATCATTTAGTCTGATTTTGATCTCACAATGGAG